GGTGCCCGGGGGGCGAGCGTCGGTGGGGCCGGCGGAGCGCTGGGGAGCCCCCCGGGTGCTCCCGCCCCCGGTGTGGCGGCGGCCGCCGCCGGGCAGGGCCCAGACGCCTCTCGTCACCGGCCTTAAGCGGAGGGCGCTGAGTACGGCTGCGTCGTGTGGCTGGGGCTCTTTCTGCCAGGGTATCGCTCCGGACGGGCTTTTTAGGATGGTGCGGGTGTGTCCTCCGTTTGGAAAGCCAAAGGGCTCAGTGGCTTGGTCCTGAGAAAGGTCTTGGAAGATTCATAGCCAGAAGTAAACCTGTGCTTTCTCACTTTGTTTGTTTGAAGCACAGCTGTGACCACTCTTCCCTGCTGGGAAAAAGAGCTTATTCGCTATGACATTTAAGCTATTTAGTTTTATTCTTGCGATTTTGTTTGTTTGGTGGTGCTTTTTTATCTTCTCTGAGGCGTTGCTTTATGTTAGTTTTTTGGTTTCTTGCTTTGTCGGTTGATTATATGTAAAATTAAAAAAAGCCCCAAAACCTACTCTGTACTTAAGCTACTCTGCTCCTTGATTTCAAGCAATAGAAAAGACTCAGGTGTGGGAAAGTGCTTTTTGGGAGTGATGACTGAAATAAGAGAAGTTAGCATGGGTACCTCCTTATTTCTAGACTTCTAGTGAAGTTGGAGGAGATCTTTGAATTGGGAATTTGTCATTTTGCTGTGATTTTGTGTGGCCTTATTAACTAGATGTCCCTTAGGGGTCATTCATAGGCAGTTCCCCCAAAGTATCATTAGCCTACAATCTTGAAGTACCTTGCAGAGAGGAAGAAAAAATATTACAGCATAGTGATTTTTTTTGGCTTTGCTGTACCTCTTGGGCTTTTCTAAATCAGTTTTTTAATTAATGACTAAGACTTTTGACTCTTCAAATCACTTTTTCTCGAAATAAGAGACCTGAATTTGGTGGTCTTTGAAGAAGTTAAAAACTAATCAGGTAGCTGAATAGGCTTCAGAGCGTGAAATAAAACTGCATGAGGGGTAATATATAATACTGTGTAATTTGCATTGACTTCTAGGTTTGCAGCAGTAGATACTCTAACCCTATTTTTAAAAAAAATCTGTGTTTCAGGTTCAGCTATTCTGGCTCTCTTGTTAGCTGGCTATCTAGCACAGCAATATTTACCAATGCCTACGCCGAAAGTAATTGGGATTGACCTTGGCACAACTTACTGCTCTGTTGGTGTCTTTCTTCCTGGAACAGGGGAGGTGAAGGTTATTACAGATGAAAATGGGCACAAGAGCATACCAAGTATAGTCTCTTTCACAGAGAGAGGTGTGTATGTAGGATATGATGGCCTAGAACTGGCTGATTCAAATCCTCAGAACACCATATATGATGCAAAAAGGTTCATTGGGAAAATCTTCACTTCAGAAGAACTGAAGAGCGAAAGTAGCAGGTATCCCTTTAAGGTGAGTAGCCATCTTCAGTTCTGTCCAAGCACTAAACTATAGACACTTGAAATAGCTTACAACAAGGTGACCCACTTGTCTGACCTTGAGTCATTTGGATAAATCTGATAAGCCTGAACACTGTAAGAGGTATTCAGAGAGGGGAGGAGGAAACAGCTGTGGAAGTTGCCTACTTCTGTGTGAGAGCTGATAGTAGAGGACAGGGTCCTCTAGAAAATCACTGTGCAGTGTGTTTCTGGATAACCTTCCAGCACGTTCTCCTTAAAGTATAAATTTCAACTTGAAATTCTAATTGTGCTTTCTGAAACTTCACTTTTCCCCTGAGATTTAAAAAAAAAAGACATCTTGCATTTTTTCCCTAGTGCTTTTTTAGTGCTTACTTGACCAGCAGCAGATCTTGAAAGCTGCTTTTTAAAAAAAAAGTACTGTGTTGATTTAGCATGGTGCAGTATTTTCTGAAAAGAGACAGATTTTCAGGTACTACAAACAGTTTTTGAGCTCTTTACTTGTCAAGAGAAGCTGTTCCAATACCAATCAGTTAGCTTCCTTTCAGAAAGAACCTACAGGAGGCTTTATCAGTAGGGTAAACCTTACGAATAAAAAGCAGTACTTTTATCTTTGAATGTGGCATTGAAGTTGAGTACATGGTTGCTAGGTCTTATTTTTTTAATGTGTCTCACCTGGGCAAAGTGGTTGTCACTACTTTGGATAATACTCAGACCCCTTAAGTGGCATGTTTTGCATAATATTCGTAGTCGAGGAATAAAAATGATTGAGGAAGCGACAAAAGCACATTCTTATTTTTCCAGAATAAACAGACTATATGCAAATAAAACATTTGGTGGGAGAACATAAGAAAAAGACTTCCCACCTGTGGGTTGTATTGCTTTTTCTTCCTAGATTTTCAGCAACAATGGATCAGCTGAATTTTCTGTGACAATTAATGAAACCTTTCACATCACTCCAGAGCATATTGGCTCTCAGCTGCTACTGAAATTGAAGAGAATGGCAGAGGACAATCTTGGCATGCCCATTTCAAAGGCGGTGATCTCTGTGCCAGCAGAGTTTGATGAGAGGCAACGGAATTCTACCATTAAGGCAGCTAACCTTGCAGGTGATGTCTCTTTATTCCAGCATTTTTCTATGAAACCTTCAGGTCAGTTTCACTAACAGTGATGTCTTTGGGGCAGATATAGAATCAATGATTGAGAACTTCAGAACAGTTTTTTGTTTTTTACAGACCACTAAGAATTGTGAGGAACAGCAGAGAACTCTTAGGTACTGACAGGTGCAGCTGACTAATGCCAACATAGATAGCTAGAAGAAGTAAGTTTTACTTCAGGGGGAATTGTCTTGGTAATCTCCAAATAAAGAGACTATCCAGAGCACCCTTGGACAATTTAAACAGAAATAGAACATGTGAAATCTCCTTGGCAAGGTTTCTCTGGAAGAAATGTATTTGGGCAAATCATGGTTCATGAGTTCACCCTGACGCTGAAGTAGTACTACTTTAGGCTTAAATAAGAAGAGTTCATTGAGTATTATTGCTTAGAAAATTATTTTCTTTAGATCTGGCATCTAACTTCAAGGCCTTTGGTTAAAAAAAATGAAATGACTAATGGTAAATGTCATTATGATGTGAGAATTGCAGTTTTCTGAAGTGTATCTGACTGTTACTTGGGATTTTTGCTCTTTATAGGGCTAAAAATTTTGCGAGTAATCAATGAACCCACAGCTGCAGCTATGGCTTATGGACTCCACAAAGCTGATGTGTTTAATGTTCTGGTAGTGGATCTGGGTGGAGGAACTCTGGATGTGTCTCTGTTGAACAAGCAAGGAGGGATGTTCCTCACACGGGCCATGGCAGGTGAGAAAAATGCTTTAATTTCTCAGGGAGGGGCGGGGGGAGGAAAGGTGCACCTAATGTCACCACTAGAAGGGCTCTTTAAAACATACCAGCCTTGTCACAAAGTGTTCTCCAAACGTGTTCTCAGCTGCTTTTCATGCAAAATTAGGTTTGTGACTGGCTTCAACAATTAAGATAAATTCACAGGTTTTGGCTGACTCAAAGGAGTAAGCTGTGGTTTCATTTTACCCATGGCTATTAACTTTTGTGCCCACTAGTAAAGTGCTAGTGGGTATTACAATTACTTTGACTGTGCTTTTGGGGGCTGGAGGTGGTACAAATCTGTTACCTTTGTCCAAAACGGAAATACTGGCGAATCACTGACCAGTGCTTTAGAGCACCTTGCCTTGTGTTTGGCTCCAGTTCGGTAGGGCAGGGTTTGGGAGTGTGCATGCTGCTAACCCAGAAGTAAGTTTTCTGATATATATGTGCCAGAGTGATTCATCACTTGGAAAAGAGTTCTGGCAGTGATATTTGGTAAAACTAGTGAATACACAACTGCTTTTCAGGTGACCTGGATTCAGACCGGTCTGAGATGCCATGCTAACTGTTTGCATTGCCTTCGGTGAACAAGTTTTGGTGTGAGCTGCTGCTTAGTCCAATAAGAGTGGAACAGCAAGAAATAATCAGCAGATTCATTTTTCTTTATTTAGGTTGAGGTCCACTAAGTGAATTCCTGTTTTCAGTCGAAACAAAACAGTGGAAACTTTGAGAGTTTTGTTCCACACAGATGAAAATCTGCAGGCCATTTTTTTTTTTTAACTCTGAATGGAAAGTCTGAACAATCATTTGAAGTTTTGCAAACGTGGTGCAAGAATAATCTTGCAGTAGAAATTGTTTATACACTTTTTTCTTTCTCTCGCTCTGAAGGCTAATGTAAGATATACCTGTTAATAGAGCTTGAAATGCTTTGCTTATGTATTATCACTTTCTTCTGCTTTTGGCAGGGTGTGTACATATACTTAAGTAGAATGTAGTTTTTCATGTGGGTGCATGAAGACATTGAATAACTTGAAACTGTTAAAACAGTAATCACAGTAAATGTGTATTGTGGAAGTGTTAAGAGAAAAATCCATTCTAGGCAGAGAAAGAAATTTAAAACTGGGAATTTTAGCTGGAAAAACAATTTGTTGTGAGGGATTGCACTTCAGTTATAGGGTTCCAGCTAGAAATTTATTATGTGCTTTCTTCTATAGAGAATACCCCTGAGTTAACAACTACTGCTTTTTTGTTACTGTGTAGCAGAGCATTTCCAGGAGAAAAAAACACTGAGGGGGTAGATTCTAAAATAGTTGCTAAATAAGAATCTGGAAACTACTATCCATCGTGTTTTCTTCAGTGAACGACAATTACTCCTGCAGCTCTGTGAGCTCTTGTGCTGTGCTTATAGTCCTGGTGTTATTGCTCTGGCCCTTGAGCACATCTTCCAGTAAAGGAGAAGATGCATGCTGCTTTCTGAAGCTTTGGAGGTGACCTGTCTGATGCCTTCTATTCTGATGTTTCAGGTAACAACAAACTTGGAGGACAGGATTTTAATCAGAGGTTGATGCTGTATTTATATGATCAGCTCCATCAAACGTATGGTTCTCTGCCAACAAGAAAAGAAGAAATACATCGCCTTAGACAGGCTGTGGAGGCAGTTAAATTAAATCTGACTGTACATGAGGCAGCTACACTAAGGGTGTTACTGACTATGCCAGAAAGGAAGCTTACAGAAGAACTTCCAGAAAGTGAGGTAAAAACAAACACTGTGCTGAAAGGCAAGCTTTCACAAAAAACAGATTTGAGAAATCTTGGGGACACTTCAAAAGTAGAGAACAACTTTATCAAAGTTGTGTTTGAAATGGAAATCTCTAGGAAGCTTTTTGAAATGTTAAATGAGGACCTTTTTGAGAAGATTCTTGTGCCCATTGAACAAGTGCTGAAGGAAGGCCACCTACATAAAGCAGAAGTGGATGAAATTGTGTTAGTTGGAGGTTCCACCCGGATTCCTCAAATCCGTAAAGTTATTCAGGATTTCTTTGGAAAGGAACCTAACACCTCTGTAGATCCTGATCTAGCAGTTGTAATGGGCGTAGCTATCCAAGCAGGGATCGTTGGTGGGTCCTGGCCTCTTCAAGTCAGCGCTATAGAAATTCCTAATAAGCATTTACGGAAGACTAATTTTAACTGAAATTCTTGCCCATTGTATTCCATCTCTCCAAAAGTGTACTCTGATGGTGCATACTTAACCTATCTGGCAGGGGAGCCTAATCTTAGTCATATTATATTAATTTTGCAAGGTTTTTGCTAGGTGTTACTGGACACTTAACTGTATTAAAGCTAGATGTTACTTTAAAGGTACGAGTGACTTCTGAAGTTCTGAGGTATCCTGTATTTGCTTGTACATTGGATATTGGGTGAAAATGCTTGTGATGACACAGCCACATTTTCTTGCTAAATTTTATTAGCAGATCCTGAAGAGGTGTATGTTTAAAATACAACGGGAGTGTGACCAAAGGTTAGAGGTACTGTGGTATGGTACTGTAGGTGTTCCCAGGTCCAATATATTTACTTTTGAAGAATGTGAAGCGGTGTTAACACACTTAGCACTAGCAGTGTTGATCTTAAATTTATTTATTAAATAGAGTCATTTGAGCATTTAAGCACCTTTTTAAAAGGCATGTTGCAGCTTGAATGAGACTTACGCATTCATGTGATTCTTCTGCTGTTCATAACAGCATAAAGGTATTACTGAGGCGATATGAAAAATTGTCTCGTATTTCAGCCGAACCATCTTAAAATGTAGTTCCTTAGTGTGTCTCCAAGGGCTTACTTCCTGATCTGGCTTTGATGGTTCATGCACAGGTGCTGCTGTCATACCACTTGATGTTCTCCACAGAGAACAAGGGCATATCCCTGACTATTTATACCTCCCCCTGCCTTCTTTGAAAACTGCAGTAATTTTATGTATCTTAAAGCCACACCTTTGTATCTTCCCTTGAGTTTGACCAACACGATTTTTGTTGTTGCACATCTACAAGTGTGTGATGTCTTTCCCCTGGAGTATCCCAGACTACTGTTCTCAGGGAGAAAGCGTGGGACAGAAGGGACTGCCAGGATGAAGTCTAGTTCCCGTAGTCCTAGTAAATGAAAATTCACCCAACTGTTTTGTACTTTTTGGCTTGTATCTCTGGTTTAAGTTTTCTCAAATCCCCATGCTAAACAACGTAGATCAGATATTGTAGCTGTTATTTTGGGGAGAAAGCAGTGTGTGTAATGCAGGATTTGAGATGGCACATTTTAAAACTTTATTTTAGGCAAATAGTTTGCTACACAGCTATCTAGCAAATGCTTAAGAAGAGAAAAAAAGTAAGCTGAAAAAAAATGGTGGCAATTCTGCTCTCTTTAGAGTTAAATCAATATTTAAAGGCCAGTTTAATTCTTTTATCTGTGTAGAACTTCCTACGATGAAAATACTTCATTTGGGTAAGACTGGCTTTAACATCCATCAAGCCAGTCTTAATCAGGTAAGTGTAGTTAACAGGTGGTTCTGAGCATTTTTTTGTTTTCCAGAATAATTTTGTTTGTATTAAGCTTGCCAAGATAATATGTGGGGCATAGATTTATTGTCTAACCTATGACTATATTAAAGTAGGCTGCTTACTCTCCTGGCAGTAGGCCTGATTTATGGCACTGCCATAAATCAGCTGTGCTGATTCAGCTATTTGCATAGCTATTGTCTAAACATATCTTTCAAGTAATCTAATTAAAAACCTCTTAAACTCAATCACAGTTGCACACACAAACATTCCATCAGCATTGTTTAACTTCACAGAAGATTCCCAAAATACTACTAACATCTGTTTAATTTCCCCGAGTTGAAAACCAAAGTGATTTTATTTGAGGATTTTTTTTCCTTTGTAACTTTGGAAGTGACCCTGTCTAAGTCTATGTAACTTTTAGTAACTAAAACTCTAGTGTTGAAAGAAGTGCCTCTTCAGTGAAATCACAGATGAATGCCAATATATAGTACAGTTCTTGTACACAGTTGCTATCTGGGGCCTTTGCTTTGCAGATATAAGTATCTATTTAATTCAACATATTCCAGTATCTTTGGAGTCACTGTGGCCTTTCCTTCTGCCCTGCTGTAAATTCATCTCAAAGTCTACTGGAGTTACAGTAGGTCTTTAGTATTTTTTTTTTTAATGCACTGTTTAAAATGAGCAGATCACAGTGAAGTTAAACTGTTAGAAGCTTTTTGCAATTTTGGGACATTAGGTAGGAGTGTGGGCATAACTTTTAACTGTTTAACTCTTAATGCAAATAAATGAAGAACTCTTTTTTTCTTTTGCATACTCCTTCACTCTGAAGGAGTTAAATCTCCATCAGTGTTAATCTGGGAAATGTAAGGGAAGGGTGAGTTGTTTACTTGTTTTAAAAAAAAAAAAAAAAATCACAAGAGGGTATTTATTCAGATTTCTATACCGATGATTATTTTTTTTTTTGAGAAGCTACTGTACATTGGGTATCTCACAATGCATCCTTATTTATTAAATTACTTTTCTGAGTTCTGCAGCCAGGTTATTTATTTTGTATCTTTTTGATTTTAATACTGTATTTTGGCACAAACCCTTGAATTTTAATAAGTCCACTGTACTAAGTGGATATTTCCAGGTATGCGCATGTGCTGCTAACCAAAAGTCTCTCTTTAAACAAATTGATATTTGAAGGCTGAAATCTTTCTGCAAATAATCCTTGAAATCTGAGTATGGTTGCCTGTGGTGTTCGGTGTGTAACAAATTTATACTGCTAAAGTTTGTTTTGCAAGTTGAAATTCTGAAAGTATAAAATGTCTCAACAATTGTATGTTCCTGAATTGTTTCCAAGTGCAAATGATGAAATGCATTTTATAAATAACCTTTTAGAATGTTTTTAATAAAAGCAGTTTCTGACCCCTGGACATGTCTTGTTTCAGTTTCTCGGAAATACTGTAACAGCACTTAACTTCCTTAGGAGGTTAGAGGATGAGGTTGTAATCCCTCAATTTGCCAAGGGATTGCTACACCCTGGAGTAACAGATATTCTCTGGGAAGTGGTACAGAGGAGTGTTAGGGACTGGGGTGGGAGGGGAAAAAACCTCTTATCCTCAGGCTGCACTTTGGTGTGGAAGAATGGAGCCAAGAAGAAAAGTGCACGTTGATACAAAGAAAAGCAAGGAATGATTGAGACAAAGGAAGAAGCACTGGTCCAAGGGGGTGGTGAAATCCTTGCTCCTCTTGCGAGTGGGAGCACTTCTATGTTTAAGCTACTTGTGCCCTGCCTGCTAGATCACAGGATGGGGGGCAGAAACAGACCCTTCCTTGCACTGGTCAGCAGCCAGAGGGAGGATGGATGTGGGGAATGGTCCCCAGCCTTCACCCTCCACATGCTGGGAACAGGTTGATGCAGAATATGAGCAAATGTGATTTTTTGAAAAGTTGCAGGTAGGGAAGCTTACTCAGTAGGTTCCAACTTGTCAGTATTTCCAGCTGTGAGATGATTTCTACATGTGTGTCATCTTGAGCTTTGGGCTGGGAAATGTAAGGTCTAGAGAGCCTGAACAATGATGGTGTTTCATAAATGAAACTTTTAGTCCAGAATCTTCACAGATGACTTCTGCCCAGAAACAGCCAGAGAAAATGCTACGTTTGCAAGCCTCTTGCTTCCCCCATGCAAAAGCTGTGATAACCTTCCAACCTTCCTCCACCAGACAGCAACCAGCTATGGCAGGCACGAGGCAGAAATGTGTATGTTCCTGTGAGGGAAAGGAGGGCTTTCCCCTCGACTTCTTTCCAGCTTCTCCTGTGATAGTGCCAGGAAAGTGAAGAGCAAGGACTAGAAGCAGGGCTGGGGGAAGTGGCACCTGAGAAGATGGTGGTGCCTCTGGGATTTTTGAATGCGGTGGAGAAGGAAGTTGAAGCAGACCATGGGCAGGTTCTGCTCCATGTTTCTCCTCGTGAAAATGAAAGAGTCCTGGTGCCCTTCTGAGCCTCACTCTCACTTTAGACTCTGCCCTTGTACCCCATCTGTCCCACCCTTCCTCTCCCTAACCCAAGCAGCTTAGCTGGAAAAGGAAGCCAAGCAATAGCTCCTCACAGGGATGAACAGTTGGGTCCCTCATACTGTCTCCAACCAAGTGAAGGTCATCTGCCCAGGCAGAAGACCCTGGGAGTAAAGCCCCAAAGACCTTCTGGGGAGTCTCAGCAGTTAGTGGCCCACGTGGGGCAGAGCTGTTTGGGGGGGGTGGGTGCCTATGAGTAGCCCCACAGGATGAGGCTGGGACCTGATCCCCAAATGCCACAGAGGCATAGGAGAGTTGCTTTTTGGAGGAGAAAGTGCAGGAGAGGCGAGGTATGTGCTGACCAAGATGATGACATGGGTTCATTGGTACTGTCAAGGGAGCCTGCTGGTGACAAAGCCTGAATTAATAATGAAGTTGAGGCAGCCAAGTGGTCCCTCTGTTTCTTAAGAGTGTCTTTGACATCAGGTGTCTGAGGAGAGTAGAGGCTGCAGACCCTGGGTGATGTTCTTACTGCAAAACTGCCTTTTCCTGCCTGCCTTACACTTGTTGGATGGTTTACTTTGGTAAGATACTGCTGCATGAAAACATTGGAACATATCATGCTACTTCTGCCTCCACTGCATCTCCTTTTTTCAAAGTGTAACTATATGTGAGGACTACAGATAATATATACATATGCTGAAAGAGAAGGAAAGTCTCTTTGGCTTTTTTGACACTAATCCACCATTTTCTTTTCTCTCAAACTTTGCATTTATTCAGCCTGAAGCTTTTCCTAACTGTGGTCTGAAGGTAATCTGAAGCCGTAAGACTATGTCAGCCCACCAGTAAGCACAGAAAACCCTCCTCCCCATAAATTAAAAAAAAACCCCAAAAAGTAAAAATTAGCATGCAGTGGTGCAGCTCCTCCTATGATTGTTTTCTCTGGACCTTGCAAAAAGGGTTGGTCTCTGAGGTACTGAAGACTACCTCCCCTAGCCCTGTGCATTAAACTTATTAATCAGTTTAGGAATGGCACTCACTTCAGTCTTTTCCAGCTCCTCTGCAAGACTTCCAGGTAAGGGTGGGCTTGGAGGGGAGTATGCAGGTAGGGAAGGGACAGGGACAAGGTTGGGGGAAGGGGAGCCCCAGATTAGCCTGCCTGTGGCACTTTGATACGAGGCAGGTAAATGTTGGCATGAGAAGGTTCTGCTCTGTGGGAAAGGTACTGTTGGCCTCCCTTGGGGGAAAGAGGAGGAAAACCGATGAAAAGCAGAAAGCTGTTCTCTCTCCTGAGAAACATTCTGTCACACCAGTCTCTCCAGGACTTTCAGAAGGCAATAGTTACTTGGGCAGGGCTGTTCTTAGACTAAAATAATTATAAGCTTCTAATAGTTTTGTGCAAGTGATAAGTATATTTAGTTAAACAAGATAGCACTCTGATCTTAATGTAGAAAACAGGCTTTCATTTTTACCTTCAGAAAATGATGGAGGAATCATTCACTGTAGTAGAATCACATCTTTGAGGAACTCTCTTCAGAGAGCCTCCACCCTTCTCACCACCTTTCTAAAACAGCAAATATGGTTTGCTTGCTATCAGGAAAGAAATTAAGATCTTACTTGATATTAACCAGGTGTCAATATTAGAGCAATATAACACGTCTGTAGCCTGAAACTGTATGTACTTTGGGGTTTTTAATTTTTTTAAAAGCAATCAATGGGGATCTTCTCTTAGTTTCTGAAGATTGCAGTGAATGAGTTGGTATTAAATTTGAAGAGTTTTAAGAACTGTAATAAAAATGAAAATTTATGTGACCTACAGAAGCATAGGCATGTTTAACTGAAACATTCAATAAATGCACATAACTTGTCCTGCTGCTGTAATTAGTATTGAGGTTTGCATTAAGATATACTAGCAAAGAGATAGATGCACCTGACTCTATTTTTCTGGGATTCTTTTACAATGTGATTCTGTAATGCTCAATTAGATACAAAAGACATGATTTTCACTTATTTGAAATAATTTTTCAGTTATTCAGAAATCACAAGGTCAAAAAGAAAAATTAACTATGTGGCAAGTTTATAGCCTCAAAAATTACCTAAGTATAGATGCCAATATGCACGTCCTAAAAATCAGCACCAAGTGACATCTGCCTGTATGTCCACACAATAAGCAGTTTTGGTATTTTATGGATTTGCAATCACAATAAGAATGTATTAACTAAATGGGCATAATGTCAGAGCAACTAAATACTTTTTTTAAAATTAAAACCAGTGTATGAGCAGCAAGATTTATTTTTCAATCAGTCTTTACTAGTGGAACAGTTAAAATATGCCATGAAAATTACCGCTTCATTATGTTGTTCTAGTGTCAATATGATCAAAATAAGTGATTTGTATAAAAACAGAAAGTTATTTTAAGAATCTTGATCAATATATATAGATTGTAGTAAACAGCAATGCTGCAAGGAGGTTTTGAGTAAGCTAGTTATTTTATATGGAATACAAATAAAATATTCCATATATATGTGGAATGCCAGACACCCCTTAAGTGTTTACTGGAGTAAGGAATTCTTATCTTCATTAAGAATTCCGTCCTTAATTTTCTTTATCTCCTTATGCCAGCCTCTGCAATCATTTCAGAAAAGGCACCTCTTCGCTGTAACAAATTATGTGGTGTATCATATTCTAGAATCCTTCCTGTGTCCAGAACAAGCACTCTACAATGCAAAAGCAGAAAGATTACAGGAGAAGAAAAATCAGCTCTTCAGCAATATTTTCCATTCCCAATACAGATAGGCTACTCTTATTTAGAAGACATATCATCACACTAGGTAATTCATTGGCTTCTAAAGCTAGGAACTCCTATATTTAAAAAAGTGTTTTGAAAATGGCATTTTTGCTTAATTGGTAAAAATGCTACAGTCCAGTCCATTTACTCTACAGAATCAAGTGATCTTAATAGTAGCTTATACCTGTACCTTAGAAGGAAAAATAGTAAATTAATTCTGTAATTAGAAGGGAAAAACAGAACACAGGTTATTGATATTTAATATTGATGCTCAAGGCTTTTGTGATACCTTGTACTGTACAGATACAAAGATACTAAGGTAAAAAGTTGGAGTGTAAAATTTAGTAAGTCTGAAAGCCGATGCATTTAAAGGAAGCCATTTATTTTTAAAATGGCTTACCAAAACTTACTTACCTCTCGGAATCCATGACTGTATGTAACCTGTGGGCTATAGTTAATACTGTGCAGTTGTGAAACTCTCTCTTAATGGTGGACTGCACCAGGTTATCCGTTTCCATGTCAACAGAAGCTGTTGCCTCATCTAGGACCAGGATTTTTGTCTTTCGTAGCAAAGCACGGGCCAGACAGACCAGCTGTCTCTGCCCAACACTGTTAAAAATACATTTGAGAAGGTCAGGTCAGGCACACTGAGGAAGGGGAGAACAATATAAAGCTGCTGATTTCTGTGGAGCCTGTCTGTTCTATTGTTTTTAACAACACATTATACTTCTGAAAAGACTAGTGAAATATGTTCACCTTGTTTTGGAATTTTTGATTTCTTCTTGCTCAGCATACCAGTAGGTATGACTCAAACACCTGTGGCTGAACTTGTAATGTAAACCTAGTCTTGCCTTCAGTTTCTATATTAACATTATAACGGGGACTCTGAATAAACCAGATTATAAAAATTGGTTTAGCATTCAATGTTCAGTGTAAAAGTCTGGATACTCCTATATATTAGATGCCTCCTGAAAACTGCCTCCTGAAAATGGTCTGTCAAAAACCTTCAAGCTGATATTCAATACATTCCATTTAAAAACTGCCCCTCTCCTGCCAAAAGCTTCAGTATTTGTCTCCTAGATCTTAGAGTCCTTTCATTTCAAGTGTCATCCTCCTTACATAACTATGGGTTAATGTTTTACAGGAAAAAAATGAGTTGCTTTGCCTAAGCAAATAAAGCAAAGGAATAAGCTCTCTGCAGTTTTGCCTTCTTTCCAGGTTTGGTGAGGTTTTTTTGTTGTTGTGTTTTTGTTTTTTTTTTCTTTGCTCCATTTTCTCGCGGTTTTTAAGATTTAAATAAATGAGCACTTTTCTATCCAAATCTAATTATGTGGTGCATGAGCTGTCCCCCACCTCTGATTCCTTTACACCTACTCATATACTTTAGCTGACAACAGTCTTCTTCCTTGGCTTACCACACAGCATAGGCCACAGGACTTTACACTGTTGTGACCACTTGGCCACCTCAAAGAAACTTGTACTACCAGAATATATCTACTTAGAATGATGGGAGAAGCATAATTTTATACTGATGCTTTCTCAAGGAAATTCTCTGGCAAGAACACATAGTTTTACAGTACCAGAAAGTAACTGCAATAGCACTTTCTTGTTTACGTACCTGAGATTTTCACCACCTTCTGAAATCTCATGAAGGAGCTTCTTTGGGAGTGACTGGACAAAATCCTTTAGGTCACATAGTTCCAGTACCTCCCACAGTTCAAGATCAGAGTGTTTTCCAAGTGGATCCAAATTTGACTGCAGTGTCCCAGAAAACAAAATGGGCTCCTAAATAACAGCAGAATGTGAGTCCACAGTTCCAACACAAACTGAAAGCAGTCTGCCATAAATTCTTACATTAACATAGGGAACTGAGACAAATAATTTTGGAAATGAAGGTTTTCAAGGGAAATTGTAACACTGTGAAGCTGATGAATGAAAAGACAAAAATCATGTGGGATCTCAGTGTATTCAGTTCTTCATTAAGGTGAAGTATGCATTCTCTGTGCTATTGGTTCTGTGGCTGACCAAAGACCTGCCCAGCACCTGGAAACTGCAACAACATATGAATTATTACTAGTGTCAGGTTTGTGAAGCACTGGATACTACATTCATGAGCACTGTTAAGAAAAATTAGAAGGATATAAGTCAAATATTCTTAATGTCCTTAGGAAAGGTGACATACTCAGCAATAAGAACAAAAGCATTTATTGCATAAATGAGCATCACTAGTTTTTCACTAGCACTGAATACAGCAGGAAATGTCTAGAAAAGTACACATATACTGGTACATGCCAGGATGTATGTGGGTCACATCCAGCACTTAAAACTGTAGAAACAAGTATTCAGTAAAGTCTAAACACTTTTTTTTTTGGATACACAAAAAGGCCTTTTACTTAAAAAGGCCAATTTAAGAAGTCAGTACTTGACAACATGCAACTTGACAAACCTACATAGATTTATAAATGGAACTGATATTTTAGAGGCAGTGAACAGACACCTTGACTATGCAGAGACAGTGGCTGTGACTCAATAGGTAGACTGTAAAAGGCTAACAACATTCACTAGCAAGTTACATGCAAGCACAACAGTGACAATTTTGAGGTAGCTAGGTGACCAGAAAGGACTGTTGAAATGTTATGAGATCTCATGCATATTCTTCATTTAAACTTCATGTTATTTGCATTAGAACATTGTTAAATAACTTGCAAATCTAATATGACTTTTAAAAACAGTTTGTATGAGATATAGTTGACTGATCTGAAAAAGTATGTGCACACTGAAAGTTTTGGTATCATGGCATGCCCTTTTTTCTGTCCCAGACTTTTATCTTCATCCAGCTCCATTCTCCCAACCTACTCAGTTCAACACTCCTGACTCCACCTACTCTCTACCAGCTCCAGTCTCCATTTTTCCATCCTTCCAGTTCTAGTTTCCTTGACTGATGCCAACTTGTTAGTTTGCTGAACTTTCCCGTACCTCTCTCAATATACTCCACCCACAGTAAATCAGACCTTCAACTGCAGTTGAGAAAATACTTTACAGCTGTCAGATGTTGTGCAGATTCATAGACTATTAACTGCTTAAAACAAGAAAAATGTTAAAATTTGGTTTAGTATTGTCATTTCTGACCAAAAGTATATAAGAAACTGAAAATTTATCATTCCCCTGAGCAAATATATTTCTCAGAGGAAAAGCAGCCAAAAATTTGAAGGAATATATACTTTTTTTTTCTATTCATCTCAGTCTTGGAAAGACTCAAGCTATTTTGGTTTAAATAGTAGTCTCGTCCCCATGCAGTCTATGGTAGACACACAGAGGAAATATTACCAAGTTCCAGAAAAGCTAAGGAAAGAAAATAGACCTTCCTTTGGAAAGTGTCAGAATAATTTTTTATAAGTGATGTTAACATCACCCATGCATAAAAATTGTTTTATGAATGGCATTCAGGGAACACACAAGTGTTCAGGTGACGATTATATTTGTGTTCTAGTCTTTATTTTATACTAGAGCATTTCAGCGTAAATCAGTTTACCAACATGAATACAATCCTAATGATATGTGAACAAATCTTGAGTCTCCTGCCCTGTTCTGAAAAAAGCAGGGACAGCTTTACATGACACACCATAGCAGATTAATTTAATTTATTCCCTACACTCTTCAGACATAATTAGAGTTGTTTTAAAATATTTTTGCCTTCAGGTGGGACTTGAAAACACCATATGTAGCTATACACATACAGATTCTGGAGAACATGAGTTATTCTAGCTAAGACTGTTAAATTGAACTTGGCATAAGAAAATCTAATGTCATAATTGTGGTCTCCCTGTTTTGAGGCTTCCATATAATTGCCAACATGAGGTTGTGACATTTTTCAGGATAGCATTATGCCAGCAGTACTGAAGATTACTGTCTAATCAAAGAGCTTAGATTCTAAAGAATTTAATTCTAAAACTTGATAGGCCATAACAGAGCCTGTTTTCAAAGATCAGTAAAATTCTATTGGAGTTTTATGCCTCTGTCTCTTGGCAGCCTGTGGACTTTGGGGAAAAAAAAAAAAAAAAAAAAAAAAGTCTTGTGTTATTCAAAAAAAATAGTTATCTCTAAAACACATCTCACCTGTGGAATAATGTTAAGATTTCCACGTAGGTCATGGAGTCCAATAGATGATATATCAATTCCATCGATAATTATTTTGCCTTCAGATCCCTCTAGAACTCTAAACAAGCAATTTGTGAGTGTTGATTTACCAGCTCCCGTTCTTCCAACAATTCCAATCTGAAACAAAAAGTTTTCTGGTAAAGACTATAACTTTCCATGCTACAGATTCTATATGAAAAATGATTAGTGAATTCATTTTCAACTTTCAGTTCAAAAGTTCAGTTTCTTTCACCAACATGGGTGGATAAAACTGTTTAAAACTCAATTTTGGAAGAGGTGACTCAATCACAGCTCTCCCTCAGAAGCTGTATGGCCGATGCCTGGTTCAGGAGGAATCCTTTCCATTCCCCTTCCCTTTTGTCCAGCACTCCACAGCTCAGACCAATGACTCCAAACTAGGTCTCATCTGCTGTTCCTTGATATCAAACCCAAAGCTGATTAGCACTAACCTGGCAGTGTATTTCTCTACATAAATATTCAGCACAGTGTCCAAGAGGCTTAATTTCAAATTTGGAACTTCCTTAAAACTGCCAAATTCATAAAACATTATCTTACTTTCTTACAGGGATAAGAATTTCCACACAGCAGGAAAAATATTTTTCCTTTACTCATTTGTCTTTTTTTTAATGTCTTATCCACTTAACATCTTCCCTATTCAACACCATCTGGCTGTATCTAGTATTGGAGCCTCCTCATATGAAATGTTTTTAAAGTAAAAGTTGGGAAACAGATTTTTATACCTCTGATTTATTTCTTATTACATACAGTACCTTCTCTTTGCTCTGCGTCTGAAAAGAGACATCATTCAGGGCTAAACCAAGATCCTTCCCGTACTGAGCCTTGTAATTAATGAACTCTATTATTCCTTTATCGGGCCACCCCACTGGTGGTCTTTTTGGCATTATCCACGGTTCCTGGAATTAAAACCATTGGTATTAAAGAATATGACAGTAAAAGTGTTACAAGTTAATAAAAACATTAGAAAAAAATGTATATATCTTCAAAATCTCACCAGGTTTAGGAAAATTCCAATGCAATATAAAGTGAAAGAGAAGTTACATTCATGAACACTGGGCAGAAACTTTCCAACTGGGTTTTTTAGGGTTTTGGTTTGGGGGGGGGTGTTTAACAACATCTTATACACTGATTTAGAAAAGTAAACTCAGTTTAACTGGGTAGTTGCTAATAGTCTGGTACCTGTTCCACCAATTGACAAGACCAGAATTTAATCTGATGCCTAATCTCCCAGATATTTAAAATACATATTTTATGAGAAACAGTTTGCTTTAATGAGTAGGAGAGAACAGGAAGATGTGAACAAAAGTTAAGAAGCATAAACATGGGGGAAGGGTAAAAGAGAACAGAGAAGTGGAAGTTAGTCTTGTTTCCGAGACAGACCACAGCTCTTATGCCTCCGTACTTGACATGGGCACTACTTTCAGAAAAGCATATCACCGAGGCAAACTGGTTTGAAACAAATGTCTCTCCAGACATGAGACGAGTAACAGTTAGGGGTCTGACAGGCCTCTCTTCCTCTCTTCTGCTCTTAAAATGTTCCTCTTAGTTGCACATAGCATGAAGAGTTCACCTGAGCTGTAGCTGCATTAGTCTTACTACAAAATCTTTTGCTATGAAGGATGCCAAGAAATTTACCGGTTAAAATAGGAACAAAACTGCATGAATATAAATGTAATAAGAAGCTACATTTTATTATCAATGTAAAAAAAAAAAAAAAAACAACCGGGGGGAGGTATTTAATAACAAATTAAAACCTGCTATTACCACTCACTAATATTAAAGTCAATCTAAGGTAGTCATTTTCTATGCACATAAATTAAATATTCAAGACAAATGCTCACCTCTTTATCCATTTTTGCATATTCACAAACTCTTTCAATTGAAACTGTGTTGGTCTCGATTTCACACGCTTTACGCACCCAGAAATTTAGACTCTGAATTATCTGGGGAAATAGTTGCATTGTAAAACGTAAAAATTTGACTTTAACAGAATACAGCATACCGATTTAAAAACTTAACCTGAATTTAATCATTAATCCTGGATCCTTAATCACAGAAGCAAAAAAGTGTACAGAAAATGATGGCACACCAAATGAACTATCACTTAGAAAATCACTGATCTCAGCGTTCCTCTGAGTACTTCTTGTCTGCTTTCAGACTGCTCAATGGCTACTGTAATTTTCACTAACATAACATCTCCCAAAATCTGAAAATACTTCAGGATCAACAGAAAGTGTACAGTAATCGTATGATATGCTTGAAAAGAAAAACATATATGGTTCATACTATTGGTACATTACTGCATGATTACCTAGTAAAGTAAGCTAGCAATACAGAACAGAGAATTTGTAATGGAGATTTGGTCTACCATGTCTACCAAATTTGCCATCTTCAAGCACTGGGAACATTTCTGCAGACAGAAGTGGTATCACTTCCATGGTTAAATATTCCCACTTCTATAGGAAAAAAGTCAGCCAAAAGAATTCTTAGAGTCAACCATTCTGAGATGCTGTATGTAACTAAATAAAGAATGGTGTCAAATTGACATCAGATGAAGGTGAAAAACTGTGCAGCACCTTTGAATGTCATCACCAACAAGTACATGATGATATAAAGGAGATTGTCCTATCTCTGAATAATAGAAAATTGAACTCTTGTGAGTTGAGGGTGCTGTGGATATGCCATAACAGGTAATTGTCTATATATTTTTGTATTTTTATTCATCAGTATCTGTCAGCTGTGTTTCTGAAGCACCTCAGTGAGAATCTGAACACTACCAGACTTCTACGCATCACAAGATTAAAGGAACTTTGATTCTTATTTTGTTTATAGATGATACTTAAGATTTATTTCAACTAGCAGCTTATCAATACTGTTTGCCTTACTTCAAAACACATTTCAAATGTGGCTCTCACCTATTACTTTTACAAGGACAATGTCAAAGTAAACGATTTTACCAAATTTTTACGTAAACATTCCTACATAACATTCAGTAAGTGAACAAGAACAAGAAAGCAAATATGAAGTTAAGTTGTATACAACTAGGCTTCTAACTTGGTTTAACGAAACATTTGAAAATTAACCATACCTAGTTTAATTAACTTAACTTATAAATATGTTTTAATAATTATTATTTCATCTAAATTTAGAAGTGGAAAATAATTAACATGAAGCTTCCCAAAATTAATGGAATTCAAAGGAAAACTCTGTTCTGCCCATCGGATTTAGTTTCATTGATGTCACCATGTATATTCACCTGCTCATCTTTATTGTATGTATCTTTCTCTTTTCATATGCAATGTGGTAGCAGCAAGAAATATATACTATTACTTACATTTAGAGCATAGGATATTGATAAACCCACTGTAGAAGAACTCACTGTATTTCCAGCCAATACTACAAACAATGCAGCAAAGAACACCATTAAATTTCCCAGAAATTCAAGCCTGACAGACAGCCATCTGTAGTAAATCAAGGCAAAGAAAAAAGTTAATTACCTATAAAATTTTTTATAGTATAGTGAATAAATTGCTAATATGTTTTTGCTGGTAATTGCAATTTACCCACTTTACAAAAGAGATAAGTACTATCATTCCCATTTTACAGATGGACAAAGGAAGGAATATGATATATCTTGAACTGGTAGCATTGCTAGAAACAACTCCCAGCTAGGGCTCTCTTCACTCCTCATATTGCTTTCTTTTCCTACTTTTCATGTCTGGAAAAGATTCAGGTATATGACTGCAAACCAGAACTGAAAATCCTCTCCTTACTAATCTCTATCTGTAACTGAACTGAATCACAAAGGAAAGAGAGAAAATGGAGTTACATCCTTAAACCCAAAATTCTATTCTCAAGACTACCTGGTGCATGTAGGTACAGACACGAGGTTACTTCCACATATAAATTCAATTTGTTCATGAACTTGTAAGAGGAACTGTTAGTTAAAATGTAGTACAATCCAAACTCATGACCTATTGGTAAACTTATTTTTTCAGTTTGGGTTTTGGGGTTTTTTTGTTTGTTTGTTTGGGGTTTTTTTGTTAAATTCTTATGCCAGGCAGCATATACATATTTTCTATAAACCGACTAGTTTCCGGTACATAAAGAAGAAATCATCTTAGTGCTTAAATGTAACGTATGCACTCATTACAAAGGGCAGTGGATAAATTGTTCTTGTCCTGTTTCTCAGTGGGTTTACTCTGACTAAAGGTAAACACTTAGTTGTGGAACTCTACAGAAGGTCTCAGTCACAGATGCAGAACTACTGTAAAGTACCTGTTTGAGATGACATTGTTGTAGAAGTAAACTAAGTTTTCATACACAACATAGTTATTTTTTCTAATGAATCTCTCTTGGTGGCCAAACGCTCGAATTGTTGATCGCCCTACAAGAGTCTCACTGAAGTGGGAAATCACAGGAGAATGCGATGCTCCTGCTAGCCGTCGAATTTGCCGTGAACTCGCAATGTAGTGTCGCTAATAAGAAAGTACAGACAGACCAGACATTTTAAGTTGCTACAGCTTCTTTTACACTGTTTTTTTACACAGATTTTTTTCTGACATCAATTGCAGACGTGTTCTGTATGTGTGTGTGTATATATATATATATATATATATATATGTTTTTTTCACAATAACGAATAATTTAAGCCTGTATTCTTGATTGGTTTGGACATTTCATCCACATACCTCTAAAAATTCTTATAAAAGCTTAATGCACTTACTTGGATAGTAAAATAAAAGTATCCCAGGGGAATAACTACCACTACAAATAGTGGTGAGGCAGATATGATAACTAGAATGGTTCCAATAACATCTACTGTACAATTTAGCCAAGTTCGTAAATAGTAATGGAAACGTATGTCCACCACAAATAAGTCCTGTAACAATGAACAGAAGAATCAAGATTTTTGTGAGTATATTCCACTAAAAATTCTGAAAAATCAACCTTTAAAAATGGAATAAAACTAAAATTTCTTGAATAAAAGTAAGTAGGATCCCCCCAATTACCTCCTAATGAAACATATTCAAATATTATTTGTCTACAAGTGAAATAGACATAATAGCTTTTAGATTACTCATGGCATGTCAGAGAACAGGCTCAGAGTGTGTGAAGTCAAAAAGAGACAGCTCTTGCCATTGTGTTACTCAATACTATTTAGCTTACATAAAGCATATCAGACTGAAAAGGAGCCCAGGAACTCAAATCCTAACTCTTGTATACTCCTGTTAATAATTCTAGAAGTGTACTGAAATATTACTAATCTCTTACTGTATATGGTAAAGCTTTTTTAAACTCAGTTTATAATATATTGCTACCAAAGACTAGGGGCTTGAGTGAAACCTATATCAGCTGATTTTTTAGTGTATTACACAACCGTTCTTGAGTCCATCCTAGAGAACACAGCTATCGACAGTCATTGCATTTGAAGCAATTGGTAATGAATTGCAACAGTCTAGTTATGATGAGAGAGGGAAGTAAAGTCATATTAAACAACATTCATTTGTTTATTAGATGTTGCAGTTAAAGCCAGAACACTACAAAAATAGAAAATAACATTCACTTTAGTCTATATACCTCTGAGAATGTGAATTTAATGTACTCATTAGTTTTGACAACAACATTTGATTCTGATATGCAATATAATATCAAATAAAAAATAGAGGTTTTTAAAAACAGATCATCTTTAGGTCTGGTAAACTTGCTGCACTGCAAGACTGGTCTTTGAAGAATGGCCTCCTATCTTGGATAGGCTCTATACTTCCACTAATAACATGTTTTGATGATTTTGTAAGAAAATAGCTTGAGACAGTTTTTATGCACTGAAACAGCTTTCTATTGCTAGATATTGCATTCACTTAGATATTTTTCATTTTTCAACAATAGTAAATGGAATGAAATATGTAGTCACTCAAGCTTCGTTTTCGAAAAATGGAAACTATGTATGAGTTTTCCCTTTACCTTTGTGAATCTGTTGATGATCTGGCCAACTGGATTAGTTTCAAAATGCTGAAGAGGAAGGTGCAATACATTGTCTAACAGCTGATGATGTAACACTCGAGAAGCCGACAGGGAACCCCTGGTGAGCACATAAGCACCGCAGCAAACAAGAAGACCTTGTGAATGGATAAATTAAAAGACAGTATGAATGGCTGGGGAGGGAAAAGGAGATGGAGTTTGTTTTTGTTGCTGTTTTCTACTACAGTGAGCAACCCAACAGTTGCACTTCATATCTTAGCTTTACAAATGTATATATTTGTATTTTGCTGAGACATCTTAGTACTTCATAAGTATGTTTTTCCTGCAATTAAGTCTCTCATGCTAGCATGCCACCTCACATCCACAATCATTTCCTTCCCGAGATGCCAACATAACTTTATTAGGTTACACTTGGATGTTTGAAGAATTCACAGAAGTATCATAAAATCAAATAGTGTTTTCTTGTATACTTGTATGTTTTCTTGTTGTCTGTATATCTCTTCTCTCTCCCCAGTTTAAACTATTACACTATATTGCATACAATTCAGTTTATTAAACAACCAGCATTATTTCTTTACTAATACACATTCCGGCAGATCATACTTGGCAAATGGTGAGAAAAGAGACACAAATGCTCATACTTGCCTTGTAAGAATCCCAGAAGCCCATAGATACAAAGTTTATAGTTTTGTGACTGTTTCCATTCTGTGAAGTCACTAACTTCTGCTGTTTCTGCAGTCCAGGTGCTAAGCCATAGATTTTGCCCAATGGTTAGTGCATTTTGTCCTAAACAAGCAGCTATGGTTAGCCACATCCATTGCCACTTGAAGGCTTGGAGATATTTCAAAACAACTGTCATTTTCATCTAAATATACAATAAAAAAAAGGAATACATAAAAAAAAAATAGTTACTCTTAAAATCATTACCACTGTTGAAGGACCATACACATTATAGAATGGGAACTGGATACGTTCAATTCAGAATAAAGAATTTAACTAAACCTGATAACGTATATAAAATCATACTGTAAAAAGGTTTCCTCTCCCACTACACTCTGCTCTTTAATGATACACATCATAGTCAGTCTTGCTTGTGACACTTTCCAGCGTCAGACTTAAAAGATCTTATGTATGTAGATTATACAAAACAAACAAACCAAACCAAAAAACCCCAACCAAACAAACAAGAGTGCAATTCTTGGGCAGTTTGTATGAAGCAAATCTTACGCTATTCATTAATGGAACCAGAAACTTTAGAACTGCCACTCTTGGCTACTGGAGCCAAGGAAATTAGTGTCATCAGGAGTAAATTCTCATCCTAGATGAAGACTAATGGGATCAAACTCAGCTAGGCCATTTGAAAGGTATGGCAGATTCTTGGATTTCATTACAGGATCTGGAGTTAAATGAGCTCTATTTGGCACGAACTCTTCTGTCTGTTCTGCAAACTCATTCTTTTCATGCGCTTATTTCTACCATCTTGCTAGAAACTCACACTTTCTACCCCCCTTCACCCCCCTGCCCTGTTCCTATTTTAATTAAACTATAGATTCCCAGGAAGTTTTGACCTTCTCACACTATTTCACTTGTTCTTTTCCCCCTCCCTAGCAACTGGCAGGTTTGTTTTTTTTAAAGGAGATTGCAGAAAGTGTGCTTGTAACATAAAACAATACTGCAGCAGTATTACCATGCAAAATTTCTAGTCTTTGCTCCAGCACACAGGTAATTAAACTTCCTAAAGGTAAGACAGACAGAATGCTTTTCTAACAGAGGTAAAATCTTATTTTAATCTTCTTTCTGAAATATGTAAAACAGACTGGACCTGGGCGTATTACCAAAATACAGCCAGCAGCAGATCATCAAAATAGAAAATCTAAGGTGACATACTTCAAATTTGGCAAAAACCTGTAAGATTTTAATTTCAGTAATGAGATGTCAGGCAACCTTAGCAAGGAACAGAAAACTGCAACTGCAAAATACATTTTTATAAAAACAAATGTCAAAGTCTTTTCTATTAGTGATACTTACACCACCAGTAGCAACTTTTTCCTTAGTGTTAGTGATTATTTTCCATTGATCAAAGGAAGAACTGCAAACAAGAAACACTTTCAAATCTTCTTGTGAATCATCATACAAAGAATATATCCATTTATTCCTAAGCAAAAATGGATACTATAAAATTTTGTAGATTTTTCCTGTGGAGACACGAACTGTCCTCAGCTGTTCTATTTTTGTTGTTAAGAGTAACATTATGGTCAGAGACAACACTAGGTATGGCCTTTTCCCTTCTCATATAATTATGTATAGACAAAAACTGAGCTTGTTCTGTGTAGACATCAGCTTGAGATGCAAGACTGTCCTCTTCTGAGGCATGTAATTGTGGTGCAGCTTGGGTCTCAACCTCATGCAGGCCCAGGATTAGGGCTTACTATTTGACACATCCAATGCTACTACTTCAGGACCAGGGTGGTTAAGCTTAAATGTCCTGCATTGTCTGAACTGTTAGTTGAGGCTCTTCTACTTCAATTTTGCACTATCTTCTACCACTGCAAATAAACTGCTAGAGAGCTTTATAAATTAATCTAGGTCATTCAACAATCTGAAAACCCAGAAGTTTTCTTAGAGGTGCAAAAAGACAAATCAATGTTACAGGGGAAGAACAAAGAGCACAAACAATTTGTTAATATACCAAGCAGTCAAATTGCTGCCTGGGAATTGTGAGTGCATCCACATCAGTGACTTCAGTTGGTCTTCCGAAAGTCCCCTTCATTCCTGCTTAATGTACTTTGTTTCACACGGTGAAGCAGCCCATGAACTGGACCGCTTGAACTCATGCAGCACATTAACTGGATTTCTTTTGTATAAAGTGAAACCAGAAGATGAGCTCCAGATACATGTTCTCCAGCCAACTGCTAATGGGCACTCAGGCTTAACCCATGTGTACACAGTGAAGCATAGTGGCACAGCCTTCAGCACTTAGGTTTGTTCTAGCATGGCATTAATTAAGCAATGGCTACTTTTTTTTTTTTTTTTAAATACTTACTCTTTATGTTTCAGCAGTTCTCTTTGTTGCAGACTCCTACCCAGTTGGCCCTCTTCTTTTGAAGAGCTCACTATAAAGGAATAAAAATAGAAACATCTTTTCAATATATACCATGAGTTGACAGATACAGTACAAGAAGCTAGAAATAAAAAACAGGGACAAAATGATGAATGGGGATGATTTAACTTATGAATTTCTTAAATTGACCTAGTCTTGGGACAGTTACTACACAAGACAGACACATTTAAGACCTAGAATTGTGACAGCAAATATATCTCCCCCATGAGCCTAGAGTCTCTTTGGAATTCCATTCTTGCTTAGTGAATTCTTGCTTAGAGTATTAGTATCCCTGCAAATATTAACATTAGTGTTTATCTCAAAGTATTCTTGCATCATGGCTGGAAAACCAAGCTTGCTGTTCTTTGTGTGTTAAGGAAAGGAGTCAACACTTTTTTCTTCCAGGAAGGGATTTTTTTCTTCTTTGTCATATTTGATGTTATTTTTGTCAGCAGACCTGTTAAGACAAAATTACGTTTTCTACGTACATCCACCCTGCTGAAGGTACCTCTGCTGTATAATTTTGTATCATGACACACTGCATACTGTTTCTTCTCCTCATTACTTTGGTTCCTCTTCATGAATAATACATGTTTCTTTACAAGGTTACCTCACACTTTAATCCCAAAACAGCTAACTCAAGACTGCCCACTGTGGCCTTCTGAACATCTGCTGTTCTGTCTTTCCGCTCCTCCCTGTCAAACCCCAGCAAATATTTGAGAGCACTGGCTCCTGTATAGGGCCTGAATTAGTAAACCCATCAGACTGCATTGTACTTACTACAGGCTCAATTTAGAGTTGCTAAATTAACTGCAAACCAGTATTATAAACATCTACAGTCACTTGTCTGTTATAGGACTCTTCTGTGTCATGTGGAGATTCCTTCTCTCAAAATGAAATAACCACAATTAATCTCCTCCTGAAGTACATGATGAAAACAGGTCAAACAGACTGCATTGTCAATGTACCTATTTCTTTCCCACAACTCTATAAAGAGCACACATTGAACAACTCAGGTACAGAAGTAAACTGAGTCTTATCTATGTGAATGATTTGTAAGTATGCTGTTTCAAGGTACTGTGCCATATTTGTATATGCTGTCTACTTGTTGGCTGGAAGTATTTCATAAGAGTACTAAAAGTTTCCTTTCTCTCCTACAAATGGACCATATTCTCCTATTCCTGCTGTGCTCCATGATTACAGCAGTCTAAGTTGATGGAAATGGGAAGCATTCAATGTAAAACAGGACATAATTGTTTACACTACAGTATTAATTTGGAATGTTCATAAGTTATTTATTGAGTGATAAATCCTTAGCAGAATCAGGTAACTTTTACCTGGTAATTAATACAGCAGCTGTGTAAGACAGATTTATCATACATTTATTAGTTGAAAGAATAAACCATTTGATCTTGACACTAATGTCTGAATTTTTTCAGTTTATAACCTATAATTCCATACCAAAATGTAGACAGGAATGCTATATATTTTCCTGTAATTATTCTCTTCATTTCCAGGAAGGAGAGGGGAATATTTTGAGAAGCTTTAATGAAAAGAAAAAATACTGAGCAAACAGTATACAAATTTTCTCACCTTTCATTTGGGTTGTCTCTTTACTTGTATGCTCTGCACTGAAGACTTGAATAAGCTCAGCAAAATTAGCTCTCTTTGAAATGAGTTCTTGGTAGGTCCCCATTTGACTTATTCTGCCCTCTTTCATTACTATTATAAAATCAGTGTGAGGCAGGAGCGTTAGGTTATGGGTCACTAATATACGAGTCTGAAACACAATGTTTTCCATATAAATACAAAGTGTACATTAAAATTAGACATTATATTATGATAGCTGAAATAGTGTAATGGAATTTTTTTGGGATTTTGCTCATTTATTTGTCTACTTTATTATTACTATTATTGTTGTTGTTATTTATTGCCTACTTCACTACATTAGTCTTTAAATTTCTGATTATAACGTCAAACTTTATGCTTACAACTACTTGTACTCACCTGCTTCTTAATGTGCATCTTCTGCTTGGAATGGTTTAGATTAGGTTGTAAAGAGACGAGGCAGACACTACATCTTTTAATATACTACATGTAGTTTGATAGTCTCAATATTAAAACCTGCTAACAAGTCTATCATTAGTAGAGTTCTTGCTTCTGCCAGATACTCATAACCATAGAGCAGGTAAATTAAGAAAAGGGAGGAGAGAGGGAAAGTGAAAGACATTTACCTCATACTAATGTATTCATAATATTAAGTATTTCATAGTAATACATGTGTTTTGCAGTCACCGGCCAGCAGGAATAATCTGTACTAATTCATAACACTGAGGAGAAATTTTTTAGAAGCTATCTTACCTTCCCAGATGAACAGTTTTTTAAATGGTAGAATCTGTTCTTTCTGATTCCACTCTCCCCATGGAGTTTCTTTGTTCAAGAAGCCTTTCTTTCTATAATTTATACTGGCTATTTACTGCAGTGAGGCATCAAGAGTGACTACAAAAGGCTCTACCCTGCCTTCTATATGCAGATCACAGTAGTCCTCAAAAACTGCTAGTAAAGAATAAATAAGTAAATATTATATGAATCTTTCAGACTCTTTATTCAGAACAATTTTCATCAACACACTAGGTCAGAGATGAGATTTTGCAGAACAACTGTGACTTTTACTGTGTCTCTTGTATTGTACAAAGCAGCTGAAAACTGAAAAGGAAGCCGCCCTAATTTACCTTGGTTTTTAGGAGACCATAAGGGCCAATTAGCTTCTCAAAAAGATGTTTCCCAACATGAACATCTACAGCAGACAGGGGGTCATCCAGAAGATACAAGTCAGCATTGCTGTACACAGCTCTAGCAAGACTCACTCTCTGCTTCTGCCCTCCACTGATATTGACACCCTAAGAAAAGAAAGCCCCAAAAAATCCACATTTAAATATGAAATACTAAAATGACCAGTGTATTACACTCAGTCCCATCATTATTTTTTCAGGTAATCAAAGTTAATTTTATACTAGATATGAAAATAGAAAGGTAACATTTGGATTTTCAAGTAATTAGAGCAAAGTTTGGGCTCTGTTGATTAAATCCCCACTCCAAACAGGCAAATGTAAGGTACTTTGGAAAATTAAAAAACCAACTTTTATTTACAGTCATACAGGCCTTTTTACAGTATAGAGGAAAGCACTAGTGAACAGGACAGGGCTTACTCAAACTTCTGTATAGAAAAAAGCCATTTAAAAATTAGTAAGAGTTGAGAGCTTGAACAGAAATTAAGTTCAAAGTAAGCAAGCTAAGCAAGAAGATGGGATAGATGTACTTGGCTGAGCACTGATTACTCAGAGTAAATGACCAAATAGAGAATATATAAAAACATAAAAGCCATAACAAATTATTGCATCATTTCTGACATCTAAGATTCTCACCCTTTCTCCAATCTCTGTTTGGTCTCCATTCGGTAACTGTTCCAAATCTGGCAGTAAAGCACAACACTCTAAAACAAGTTCATAGTATGGCCTATTTAGATTTGCACCGAAGAGAATATTTTCCTGTAAACTGTCATTTTGAATCCAAGCCTGCTGAGAAACATATGCCACTGAACCCTAAAATGAATTGGAAACATCTTCTTTACTTGGGCTTTGTGAATATAGAAAACAGCATTTTAAAGTACATTTTAAATTCCAGGTTTACCTCAAAGTAACCAGTAATTACTTCCAAAACTTGAGCATTATTAAACTCTTCAAATTTTGACTAAGTCAGGTAAAAAACCCAATCTGTTGAGTATTCCTGTATAACAGCTTACTGATAATTATTATAAGAGGACACTGAATAAAACTGACAGAGCTGGGACATACACTGAGCAAAATCTTTCAGGTGACAGCCACCCATTGTAAGACTTATATGCAGAAAAATAGGTCTGTATTAGGTCTGTAGTAGGTATATATCAAAATACAGATTGATTGTTTGTATATTTACATAACATGCCATGGAATGTGTCAGCCATTAGAAATTAAGGTTACAGGAGAGGAATAATAACTGGAAATTCTCCTAGATCTTTTCTTACATTAAGCTACATGCGCTGTGAAAATCTATTAATTTTACAACAAATTGATAGTACAGATACGCTTGTTGGTTATATGCCTTCCTTATTAGATTCTACACAGCCTATCTTTTTGTCATTAACTACTACTCTCAGATTTGGAACACCTCAACTTGATATTCTTCCCCCACCCCTCAACAGTGACAGGATACTGTACTAGATTTCCACGGGAGTGGATTCTTGTTCAACACTGATTTTCAAGGCTGAGACACTTTTTAAATGTTGCCACACCCCCTTGCAACCAGATTAAACAATACTGTGCTTACCCATTGATAATGATTGGCTCAGGCACTGTAGTCTGCCATCAGAGGTTAACTTCCACCATATCTATAACCTATAGAAAACTTCCCTAAACTCTATTCTGTGATGGGGACTTTTGTTGCTCTCTGTAACTGTAAGTTAAGATACAGGGTTTCCTGTCACTAGGAGAGCCAGCACCTTAATTCCATCTCTGCCTAAAGTTTAACTTTTCCCTCTATTTCCATATCCTGTATCCTCTCTACACATATTGCAAGAAAGATGATCATCTTCTACAACAGCTTATAACTGCTCCAAGTGGATTATGTTTGTATAGCTGTTCCAAAACAGCAACCATTAGATGTTTAGGCTCAATATATGACTTAAACACTCAAGATTTTTGCACTGAATTATATAGATTATAAAAAAATGAAAATAGCTTTGCAATCACTTAGATTGAAAACAAAGACAAATTGTTACACTGTTAACAAAGTCTTAAAAATCACTGTGTTACTTTGAAGATTTAAGAAGCTGGAGCTACCCTTGACAGTATTTCTACAACTATTGTTGAGAAGGAAAAATTGTACTTTCAAAAGCAGTTCTACTTAATTTAGGTATTGTGGAGTGGGCAGAGCAGGGGGACACAGACAGACAATCTTACTCTTCGCTGAACTGTTCCTTCAAGTTTCTCCATTTCTCCAAGAACAGCAGAAAGAAAAGATGACTTTCCAGATCCAACCTGTCCCACAACAGCAACTAAAGAGCCTTCAGGAATGCTGACACTCAAGCTGGAAATATTGAGGAAGACAAATGAGTTATCCTCTTTGTAAATACTCCGTCATATATGGGTTGTGGTCACTCTATTTTACCCTCAGAACAATGAGAAATTAGTACTTCAGTTTGCATGTCTTTTGGCTATGCACCGTTCAGAAACTTGCAATAATGACTTTAAGTATAAATTTATATGTCTGCTCTGCAAGTTAAAATGTTATGCTTTTATCTGGTCACAATAAAATGAAACAGGAGACAGTCTAACCAATAAGTGGTGTTATCGTATTGTTCTCAAGCCTGAGGTTCACATTCCATCTTACTCTGACAATCAACAGTTAGACTTCCTACATAGCATCAACTGTGACCAATGTCTGATCCTTCTTAAGGAACAAAATAGCTGTTTGGATAAATAAAAGCTGCCCTTCATAACCTGTATATTTTGCTGTCAGAACAACTACAATATGTACTAACAAACTTTAGCTTACAAGGACAGCCATTTGCTATATCTGTACCCTATGCTATCTGGATCTAAGTGTATTCTGATCTGAAGGCCCTACGCTAAAATAAGCACAGTCCCTTCAGACTGGAGCTGGGAGCACAAACGAGGTAAAGACGTACCCAGAGACTGTACCAGACTTTAATGAAGCCTATACACAATGCTGAAGACAGCTCATGCCTGGATACTATATTGCAGGCTATGGTGGCTGAGATGTAGACGCTCAATGGCATATTATGGGAAATGATACCCCACAGCCCTAAGAGGAATAGGGTGAACAGCATGGTGAGTGGGTTAGACCGTGTGGGTTGTAACCTCTTCAGCTGTCTTAGTAAAATTTAACAGCTGTATAGAGCTTATCAAACAGGTTCTTCACTTCAGAGCTCGGTTACTCCATTTCCTTACTAACCCTTCAATGTGTTCATTGCACAGCAGTTTATGCATAGCTGAATTTACATCTAAGAAATACCTTGTTAAGGAATGACAAAGAGGGGTGTTTTCAGGCAAGAGACCACCGTGAGAAAAGCACACTTTTTGTTTGTTTGTTCTTTCCAAAGGAAGCCACAGCACAATTTTAAGATCAGTATTCAATGCAAGGCTGCATAAAATACCTTAGCTTACTCGTGGGCAATATAAAATGCTACACTGACAAAAGAGCATCTTGCTAGTTAATGCTTCCCAAAACGCAATTCAGGAAAAATTGATATTGCAGTTAAACTTTGTGCAAACTGAGGGGAGAGGTGGTAGGAAAGAAGGAATGAAGAAGGAATGAAGAAGGAATGAAGAGCACTGGCTTCCCATAGCACTTATAAAGTGCTATCTTGAGGAACATGCACTCCTATGTGGTTCCTCATCAAAGAGACCAAGTCAGATTTGACTTTTTAGAGCACACCAATCACATGGGATATTCTGGAAACAATAATTTATGTTCTTTTTATTATGTAACAACATGAACTAGTCTGAATCAGAACACATTAAACCTGAACAAAATCTCTACAGATATCACATTCTGCCAAATGAGCTTGTAAAAAAAAATTAAGAAATATCTTACTTTTTTAAAACTGGCAGGCCATTTTTTTCCCAGCGTAAAGAAGCGCCAATAAACCCAACAGCGTGATCTGTTGCAATAAAGAAAAAAGAGCAGAGCTGCTAATCCATCCCCTCAGTTGAGTTTCTTAATGATCATTTATATAAACTCATGACCAATTAAAAATTAGTAACTCTGCTTACTTCCACTGTAGTTTGTATTGACATCCTCAGGGTTAAGATCCTCGGAACACAGAAAATCCTCTAAACGACTCAGAGAAACCTTGGTCTGCAAGATGAACATATAATATTGATAACATGTCTGTGCTCCCTATTTTTTTCAATAGTATTTTAAAAGTTCTAGATAATATGGAAGAACATATTCCGTGTCTTATCTGAAGATAGACAAAAAAGGTGTTTACCTATTTAAAAATTATTTTCCTTAAAGTACTGAACAATCTAAAGTCATGAATAAGTGTATTTTTTTTCTTGAGGATTTACTGCTTGGTAGTTATAAAGTAACAGAGCATGCCTGACACATTCAGTATTAGAAAATATAGTTAATCCTCAAATGTCTGGTTCCTCTGACTCAAGTCAGAGAAAACTAGTTTGTTTTCATAAGCCTCTGGTGAAAACACAGCTTTTTTTTTTTTTTTTTTTTAAGCAATAGCTCACAGTAACTCTCTGTGAGTGAATCATGAGATGTCCATCACTGTGGGGTGACAAAGTGAGATGAACTTACACTTGCAATAATTTTTAAGCTATTAGAAGTAAAGTTTAGGAAAAGACAAGGCTTTGATCTTACAGTATGCTAACCATAAATGAAATCAAATCAGGGTGAGTATCTGCTCACAGTGGTCCCGTTCCTTACAAAACTCTGAGTTGTATACAAGCTGTGACAGAGTACATTCAGCTCATATACCCATAACAGAGTCTTAAAAGGTAGAGGTTCCCAACTCATACAGTAACCCTGATGATATACCATTAGGACTGAAGGTTGCTGATATGGTTTCCTCAGCAGCTCTATTCCTTTTTTTTTTTCTAATTCCTTCAGTGATGACTTGACAAAACCAGTATTGTAGAGTCCACAATGGGTCTCCCATACTTGGTATCAAGGGCTCCAATATATGACAATGGCTGAGTGATTTAAAATGTGCAGCCCAAATTGTTCATACTTTTATATTCGGTGGACTATGAAGAACAGAAGTTGAGAAAGTAGGAGCAGTTGAGTCTAGTCCACTGAAGGAAGAAAAGCAAGAAACAGAAAGCTCAGTCACAATTAGGAGTGCTACCCAATTTACTTTCTACTTAAAAGACTGAGAGACATCTTTTAAACAGCCTTCATACTTCTCATTCCATAAAAACACTGTGAGGTTTCATCTCAATAAAATGTAACTTAAAATAATTATATGACTTAATCACTCCTAGAAATAGATGAAACATGACAGAGTATAAATATCAGCCTTTTATAGCACTTGTTCATAATATGTTTACCTGGGCTACAGCAGAGATCACAGGTGATAAATCAAATAAGGGCAGTCGCAAAATGTTAAATAAAGAAATAGATGTAAAAATTTTAGATGCTGTTAAAACATTCTCTTTGTCCAGATGAACGAAGACTCCAAATGTAGCCAATGAGACCTTTTAAATAAAAAAAATGTAAAAAATGTATCCAACCAAAATCACATTGTAACTAAAATTTATACACAAATACTGGTTTTGTTTGCATTTGGAAGGTGTAGGATCCCATTTCTGCTCATGTCAGGGACTCTAACTGCTGTACATGGAAATTATAGCTGCAATACTGAGTGCAGGAATACTATAATTTTAGTGAGCAAAAAACATGGCTACTGTGTTTCACCCAACCAGATACATATGAAACTATATGAAATAACTCCCATCTCAGGAATTAATTTACTCATTTTGAAAACACTCAAACATGATGTTTCAGGAAATTCACTCTTTTTTTTTCTTTTTCTTCTTGCTATTGCTATGATATTGGATATACAATAGAATTATTTACTGCAGGTATTTTTATTTTGCCCACTTAGAATTTTTTGCAAAACTCTAGTCAATAGTCATCAGAGAATAAGCTGGGTTCTTACACAACTGATACTTAAATCTTCAGAATTAAGTAAAGCCTAAATTTAACAACCTGTCCTATGGGGTCTCTTCCGCCTTTTGTTGAGTTTAGGAGTCCTAAACTAAACTACTCACAAAGTACAAGGATTCCTAAGTCCTAAAAAAGAAGTTATTTCACTGCATTTAATTGAAAATTTGAATTTTTCTCAATCACTTCTTCAAATATTTCAGTTATTATCAAGGTTAGAGACTGAAGGATGGCCTTAATCCTCCCTTTCACTATTCCTAATATTCCTGTTCACCTCTTACATCTCGTGAGTTAAGTGCCAGAAAACATCAGTTTGTGTAACTGAAATTAATGGTGGTCATTTATCCCTAAAGAAGGTTCCAGTTTGATCCACAGAATCATTTAGGTTGGAAAAGACCTCCAAGATCATCGAGTCCAACCATAAACCTAACACTGCCAACTCCACCACTAAACCATGTCCCTAAGTGCCCCACCTACACGTCTTTTAAATATCTCCAAGGATGGTGACTCAACCACTTCCCTGGGCAGCCTATTTCAATGCTTGATAGTCCTTTTGGTGAAGAAATGTTTCCTAATATCCAATATAAATCTCCCCTGGAACAACTGGAGGCCATTAGCTCTCACCCTATAACTTGTTACCTGGGAAAAAAGACCAACACCCACCTCGCTACAACATCCTTTCAGGTCGCTGTAGAGAGCAGTAAGGTCTCCCCTGAGCTTCCTTTTCTCCAAACTAAACAACCCCAGTTCCCCCAGCTGCTCCTCATCAGACTTGTGCTCTAGACCTTTCACCAGCTTCATTGTTCTTCCGTGGATGTGCTCCAGAACCTCAGTGTCTTTCTTGTAGTGAGGGGCCCAAAACTGAACACAGTGTTCAAGGTGCAGCCTCACCAGTGCTGAGTACAGGAGGACCATTACTTCCCTGGTGCTGCTGGCCACACTAATTCTGATACAAGCCAGGATGCTATAGGCATTCTTGGCTACCTGGGTACACTGCTGGCTCCTGTTCAGCTGGCTGTCAATCAACACCCCCAAGTCCCTCTCTGACTGGCAGCTCTCCAGCCACTCCTCCCCAAGCCTGTAGCGCTGCTGGGGGTTGTTGTGGCCCAAGGGCAGCCCTCGGCATTTGGCCTTATGGAAACTCCTCTAGTTGGCCTCAGCCCATGGCTCCAGCCTCTCCAGGTCTCTCTGCAGAGCCTCCCTACCCTTGAGCAGATCAACACTCCCACCCAACTGGGTGTCATCTGCAAACTGACTGAGGGTGCATTTGATCCCCTCGTCTAGATCATCAATAAAGATGTTAAACAGGAGTGGCCCCAAAATCCAGCCCTGGGGGACACCACTCGTGAGTGGCTGCCAACTGGATTTAACTCCGTTCACAACTCTTGGGCCTGGCCATCCAGCCAGTTTTTTACCTGGCAAAGATACAGACATCCAAGCCATGAGCAGCCAGTTTCTCCAGGAGAACGCTGTGAGAAACGGTGTCAAAGGCCTTACTAAAGCCCAGGTAAACAACAACATCCACAGCCTTTCCCTCATCCACTAAGCGGGTCACCTTGTCATAGGACATCAGGTTTGTCAAGCAGGACCTGCCTTTCATAAACCCAAGCTGACTGGGCCTGATTACCCAGTTGTCCTGTATGTGCCAAATGATGGCACTCAAGATGATCTGCTCCATAACCTTCCCTTGCACCAAGGTCAGACTGTAGTTCCCTGGATCCTCTTTCTAGTCCTTCTTGTAGATGGGTGTCACATTTGTTAACCTCCAGTCAACTGGCACCTCCCCAGTTAGCCAGGACTGCTGATAAATGATTGAAAGTGGCTTCATGAGCACTTCCACCAAGTCCCTCAGTACCCTTGAGTGGATCCCATCCAGCCCCATAGACTTGTGTGTGTCTAGGTGGTATAGCAAGTCGCTAACCATTTCCCCTTGGATTATGGGGCCTTCATTCTGCTCCCCATTGATGTCTTCCAGCTCAGGGGGCTGGGTAGTGGGGAACAACTGGTCTTACTATTAAAGACTGAGGCAAAGAAGGCATTAAGTAACTCTGGCTTTTCCTCATCCTTTGTCACTATGTTTCCCCCTGTATCCAATAAAGTATGAGGATTCTCCTTAGCTCTCCTTCTGTTGCTAATGTATAGAAAACATTTTTAGTCCTTTACAGCTGTAGCCAGATTAAGTTCTAGGTGGGTTTTGGCCCTTCTAATTTTCTCCCTGCATAACCTCATGACATCCTTGTATTCCTTCTGAGTTGCCTGTCCCTTCTTCCAAACTTCATAAACTCTCCTTTTTTTCCTGAGTTCCAGTCAAAGCTCTCTGTTCAGCCAGGCCATCATTCCCTGCAACTGGAAGGACAGAGGAGAACACTGCTTGTGCTCCTGATCCCTTAACTAGTCATCCCAAGGCCCTGAAGTCTCTATTTAACTTCCAATGGAGTTTAACAGAGGGATTTAAAGATCCAAAGATCTGAATCCATTCTTGATAGAATTCCACTGAAACAAAGCTAGGATGAATTTGGTTTGGGTTTTTTGGGGGTTTTTTCCCTTTTTTTTTAAACGTATTTAGAAGTTTGGTGTTTGAGAGGGGATAGCCAAAAATTACACATCAAAAATGCATTCCCTTAAAACTTAGAAAATGAGGAGTATAAACAAGGTAGTTCATTTCTATGCAATAGAAATAGTATGATTAAAACAGTAAAATTAGATTCGTGAGCTTTGGATTTGGTTTCTGACTTTCTAACAGAGGTCTTTAAAAGCTTGGTCAGTTCATAATCTCTCTCATTCTTCTCCAGTCATATACATACTATTAGAACATGAGAATTCAAATATATTGTGTTGATAAATGTAATGTTTTGAGATACTGTGAGGCAACATTTGTGAGCAATTCAGCTACTAAAGCATTAGGGAACATGAGAAACAGTCCTGCATGAATTAATATTTTTAAGAAACAAACCATAAAAGGAATACACGTCAATGTTAGCATGGAGTAAGTCGTCAGATACCCAGATGACTTCAACACATCCACTTCACGTTCTCTAATGCTCATGACTTTCCTTTGATATGCAGATTCCCATCCATAAAGTTTTAGGAGCTAGACAATCGAACAAACATATTTTAATAAAACAAAATAGCAGTGACTACAGAAAATAAGCTTAAGTTGCAAATGTCATTATCAAATATTTAGCAATACCAAACTACAAAAATTTGTTTTACAAATGAAAGCAAGACTTAAGATAACTCTAAATTAGGTTGTTCTTATGGAAGATATACTCTAGTCACAATTCTTCAGATTTCAACTTGTCCGTTATGTATCAGAAATGATGAGCTAGTTTATATCAAAACAAGATAAATAACAAAAATAAGGCAACTTTCAAAAGTGCTTTTCTTCTACACTAAAATTTCACTCTGCTAAAGGCTTCTGGATATCTATTAACATATTTTACATTCTCATTAGAAATGTAGTAATAAAACTGATGAAACATGGACAGTAAGTTTTTCAAATCAAATTAAACCAATAAATATTTTCCAAAAACACTTTAAGCACATTATGTTAAAACATTTTCTTTTCTAACTTTTATCATTATCGGCTGAAATATTACACACAAAACCTTAGTTTTTTTAATAACTGACTTTCTATTTTTAAAACCTAACAAAAACCCCAAACCCCTTATTAGTTGTGGCATTACCTTTATTCCATGTAACATCTCACTCAGCAGCTTAACTTGTTGATCCGAATATCTCATTTGGCTTTTCTGGTTAAGACAGCAATGTTTTAATTTTTCAATGAGCAAAAAAATTTGGAGAGTAAAATATGCAGTGTACTGTAGGCAATAAATACCTTTTATGCTATTTTTACCTTGCTGGAAAACAAAGTAGCACTGTGACATAAAAAGGCCTGAACAAAAGCCTGAAGCATAGGCCTCAAACCAGAGCTGACTTCTGAGTGAACCTCTTGACCTGCATCCTTTCAGCATATGACCATGGTAATATCCTTTGAAAGCTATAGATATTATCTATTTTTGGACTCTAAGCCAGCTGTTTCCTAGAAGACAGGAACTCCTCGGACACACCTGGGATCCTGGCCAGATCCAGGATGCACCCAAGTGAAGTGAAGTCAATCTACTAGACATTTTCATGCTTTTTTTTTTTTTTTTTTTTTTTTTTTAAATATGGTTTGTTAAACTGTATAAAAGCAGGACCCTCTCACAGTGAAGATGGAGACCTCACCTACGAGTGGATGCACTGCGTAGGACCTCCCAATTGCCGGGAGCAGTTCTCTGATCCTTCGCTGTGACAGGGCTCCCCAGCTGAAGCACAGATCTGGATGATGGTAAAGTATTAGGGCAATTGGTGATGTATCTTTCTTAATCATTATAGCTAACTCTATGTGCTAATGATCAGATGCATTATCTCGCTTATTCTTTCTGCTGCTTTAAACTAAAGTAAAATAAGCTTATGTTTTTAACTTGGTGTCAGTGTCCTTTCTGTTGACCTCATCAATTGGCAAAACACACTGCAGTTATATCATCTTCAGATAGATGTGGTTAAAAAAAAAATCATTAGATAGGATAAAGGATTAAATACATTAATATTTTTCCCTTAAATTATCTCAAAAAGTGCATTTCAATTTTTGTCCTTTTTATTTTTCTTCACACTGAATTAAAATCTTAACAGGCTTTCAGTTTCCAGGGTGTTCAGGAATGATAATATGGTTTTAATGTTCAGAATCACTAAGCAGGTAAATACAGACTCAATAACAATATAATATAACACTGTATATACACATACACAAATATATTCATAATGCTATATGGATATAAAACACTGTATACATATATATGTATATATACAGGAGTAGGAAGAAAGTTTCCTCTGCTACCGATTAAAATATTGTAATTGAAAGAACCTGTGAAAGAAACACAGCAATTCTTCTCACTCCTTCAGTGTACTCAGGCTCTTCTGCACCTCACATTCCTAAAATAATAATAACAGCCTCTCTAATGTTTTGAGTCTTATTCATATATAACAACAAGCTGAAAACTTTTAAACAGAATTATTTTATTGTCCTTTGTATTTCTTCTCTATCTCTCATATCACAGTAGGGATCTAAGTACATTTGTAGCTGCTGTACCTCACCCACCTGCAAGAGGTAAGAGGGTTTTTTGGGATTTTGTCAACGTCTCTAAACTGTCACAACCTTACAAAGAATTAATAGAGACCCAGAGTCTTCACTGCATGTGTCACCATCAAAGGCAGAATAAGACAGAGAGAAATAATTGCCGTGACAGCAATGCAAAAATTAGGGTTGTAGTATTATTTTTTTTCTGTGGAGCTTACAGAAATTGTCATAGTAACAGGCAATACAGTGCTAAGAGAACTGTAGCATCAGAGAAGCAGAAAAGAAGTCAGAACACCTGCTGTACTTCTATGGGTATTTCCATAATCTCAGGAGAATGTGCTAAATTTGAGGGAGAAGTTTAGCCTGAATACTAAAATTTGGGAGAGGGCCATAATCCTACAAAATCCCTTATTTAATGGAATTAATTTACATAATATGCAAAACCATAGCTGTATCCTAAATCAAGTCATACAAAATTTTTACTAATACAAAAGTATTGTTTCAATATAATGAAAATTTAGGTATCCAGCCTAGGTACTAGTTCAGCTATCAAACATATGGCTTTCTTACTGCAGTTATGCTCCCTCCCTCAATGAAAACCAGCTGTGTCTTAGTGTGTTTATTTTGGGGGGTTTAATTTAGATGTACCAATAGCATTCTTATACATGTATAATTTACCCCCTGCTTTATGACAACCTAATCTCTCCTTACTATGTTTATTAAATATCTCACCTTCAGTCTTTTTACTTTGGCTGCAATAAGCGCATTTATAGGTATAACCAAAAGAAGCAGTGCAACACCTGCTAGGACTGATGGGCCAAGTTCTTTCCAGAGAAAAATGACAGCCATGATGATCTGAAAAGGTGCTGACCACAACAGATTGATGTTTACAGTTAGCTCCATGAGTTGCTGAGCATCTGCTGACATCAGGTTAACAATTTCCCCAGTTGTATAGTTTTGCCGTGAGGAATTAGATAAAGTTAAGGCCTGCAACCAGAAAATACAGAGGTCAGAAAAATGAACAATTTTGATGGGTTTAGCTGCCCAGAAGAAGCTAAAAGGACAATAATTAGAACTCAGTGAAACAGATTTGCAACTCTTTACAGTAAACAGTACAACACAGCACAAAGAGGGCTCAGAAAGCCTCAATTTTGGCCTAGCTTAGAACCACTCAGTGCAGGAGCCAGCAACAGTAGGCTTCACAGCAAACTCATGTACAGTCTCAGTGTGGCAGGCAGATACCACAAGTCTCAGGTCTCTTGGGACTGACACCCAGACAAACACATGCATTCTCTCTCTCTTAGTGCCTCACTTTTTTCCACTGTGTCACTCGCAACTCCTGCATGTAACAAGACAGTGCTGCAGCAACTCACTCCACCATCTGTCCCACGTGCAAAGCACAACCTGACCCAGCATTCAGTAATCAACTCTACTCTAAGAGAGGAAGAAACTCTATCGCAACCCTGTAGCTGTGAAAACTTGCCAGAAGACATGCCCACCCCAACTAGAGCCTCTACTGCCCTGCTTATGATCTGATGTACTGACACACCTTGATATGAGACTGGAGAAAACAAATTCCTTTATTTAACTGATTTACAACTTACAAATAAAATTTTGCATGCTGGTCCAAAAAATACCCAAGATGTTTATGTCAAAAGATCAGTTTGACTCTCTTGAGAAAAGAGACTGTATTTTACATTAACAAAGACAGTGACTTATTTCAGATTTGGATTATTTTTTTACTTCCTTAACTTGTGCTTAATAGTTAAATACTGCAGTAAAAATACTGACATGCCATATTCATAACAAAGTAAACTAAAGGTGCAGTGCTGAGAAACCAGCTTCATCTCATATGCTACACATTAACAGCATAGTAAACATTTTTTATGTTTTGCAGGCCAGACATCTACTTTTACTTCTACATTATTAGCACCTGAATTTCTTGTAGCAAATAATGCCGCCACCTCAGCATATCTTATAAAAGGTGGGGATAAGTTATGGACAATCTCCACAGCAGTTAGCCATCTTTTAAACATCTGAAAAACAACAAACCTACTGGGTATTCAACTCAACAGAAAACCGATTTCACTAAAATCAGGGGGAAAATTTCAACCTCCAAAGGAGACCATGTGGCAAACTCCAGCTTCTTATATTCACTACTACTATACAGTAAAAGCAGTGATCACGTATACCCTTACTTTTTCCCAGACATCCAACCTAGAAAGTTTTCCCATTTCATTCTGTAAATTTGGGAAATTAAACCATAATCAAAATGGGAAGAGTTCAGTTTCTACATATATCTCCAATACTATGTCTCTACAGGTGGCTGACAAAAGCATGTAATTTCAGGCTTAGAGTTTTACAATAGAAATGCTGCTGAAAATCCAAATTATTTTAAGTAAATAATCATCAAAATATAAAGTCAATCTGTTAGCCTGTCACCAGTGTGTAACATCTTGGGTTTTGATCATGCTGGTAAGCACACTGTCCTTTAACGCTGTGTTTATTTTAGGTTTTGTTTCAAAAGAAAAGTAGAAGACGTGATTACCTTTTTGTATATCAGGCCGACAACAGCAGTCTTGATTTTGACTGCAGTAAGCATGTTGTTACGCTGGTATAACTGATGGAGAAGGGTTTGTGAGAGAACTACAAAAAACAGGGCAATAGCATAGACATATCCACTCCTGTATGAACTAGGATGATTTTCACTGACCATTATCATCGCTCTGAAAATGAAGGAAAATAAATTTTAAATTCTGTGCAATAAGAAGTTCAGTAAACTGACATACTGGCAACTTGGTCAACTAAATCCATTTTGGCTCCAGATATGGTGGAAGATCACAAAGAAATACGATGTTAAAAAAAGGTAAGTCTTAACTCTGTTTTCCAATTTGTTCACTTAGAAACAACTCTCATGTACTATTCTAGACATGGATGTGCTGTTGCTGACTTCACTGATAATGTAGTACAAATGAAGAATGGCATTAAAGAAAAAAAAAAATTACATTGGATATTTGTACTTAGACTGAAACTACCCATCATGAAAGTGAGAGCGAAAAAAAATATACAGGAAAATTCTTATTTTTGTGTTAGTAAAAGGATAGCTTAAGTAACCAGCAACTGTGATGTCTTAAAACAGATTTTACAGTTAACAATTTTGTTCAGGATTACACCGATTCAGGGTATAGCTTGGAGGTCAACAATAATTATGTTAATTAACTCTTTATCAACACAAAGATATTTGATAAATTCTTAACACCTCTATGGTAAGCAAAGTTTCTAAAAAACACTTCCAGCAACCTCATGGTATCAACATGATTACAACAGTCATTCCAGTTTTACAGTAAATGCTGAAGCTGCAGATATTATTATATATTTAGTGTTCTTTTAAAAAATAGAGATGGAAAAATACTAACAAAAGAGCGGGGAAGTTAAATATCACAGTAGTCTGCGGAGGACAGAGGAAGCAAGCAGCCAATTCAATGTGAATGATAGAGCAGGCTTCCATTTTACTGAAAAATCACACCTTACATAAGCACTCTACAGTATACTACTCACAAATCTATTGGATACATCTAAAAGGTTACATTATAATATCCCAACCATTGGATACAACTAAAAGGTTACATTATAATATCCCAACCCCTTGTGGTATTTCAGGTATGTCTCAACATCCTCCTTCTTCTGACTTGCTCACTTTCCCAAGGCTGTTTACCATCACACTCAAGGCCATTGTGTACCTCAGTTTCTCTCTTTGTTAACATAACAGTCCGTTGTTAGCATAACTGAGCCCTGAATCTCCTTCCTTGTTAGCATAACTGTACCCTGGGTTTTTTCCTTTGTTTACCTCAGATGGCTGTAATCAGCTCCTGCACAGACCCATGGCCTTGCTCTGCCATAGTAGTACAGTAGTCCGTTTCCTTTAACATTTCAGTTTATAATAGTGTGAAATTGAGTTTCTGCTGGTTTTGTTTCAGTCCTTTGGCTAAGAAATTACTGATCTCTTTGAGGTTTCCCTCATTCGATTGTTTTCAGATAATCACTGAAGCAGGGAACATCTATGGTGTTGCTTAGTTTGGTTTTGATACTGGTAACACTTTAGATGTATTATTACTGTTAATCTCTGAACATCAAGTGAAACACATTAAAAACTTACTTCATTATTTGTGGACTCATGAAAGCCAGAATGTCAGCTGTAAGTTTCAGAAATGCAACTTTAATCAATAAAAATTTAAATGCTTGCCATAATGGCAAAATCAAAGATGGTTTATGGAAACTCATTTTCTTAAATAGCATTCTTCTGATGTAAGAGGCCTGCAAGATTACAAAAATACATGCAGAATTAAGAGAAAGAAAATATTTTTGAACTTCACTCATATTTACAAATATAAAATATGTAATATTAGTGTTCATCTAAGGCCATCATTGTACTTATCTGAAAAAGAGCATTTCCTACAGCTAGAAGAAAAGCATTTTTAAGAAATGAAGTCTGGTTTTATTCAGCCTGGTTAGTAGTCTTTCAGGAAAGGATATAATTTCTAGGGTTGCCCCAGTCATTCACAAATATAATTAGAAAAGAATTTAATCCTCAAATTATTATTACAGATCAAAAAAACTGTATGATAAAAACCGAGGTAAGCTTTAATACAAATGCATTACCATTTACAGCAGACTTAGAGCAACTTTATATTTAAGGTTGTATAACCCTACTGTTCTTTCTGAATATTTTCAGTTGTCAAGTAACTATTTATTTTCAGTTTGAATTTAGCTCAAACAATTGAAAATATTCTTACAAGAATTTAAAAAAAAAAAAGTTAGCCTTTCTTAATTATCACAGTAATGAAGGATGGGGTATTTCTACAGATTACTTGAATAATAAGAACAATATCTGAATTAAAAATTATCCTTCTTGGAAAATACTTTTGAATGCTTTTGTAGAAAGGGTTTTGGTGTGTATACCATCTACACTCTTACTGGTCTTACAGGTTAGGTTCTTTCTCCTGGGAACTTCCTAACATTACAGAGCTCCTAGTGCACTTCAACAACAAAATAAAAATTGTGACTGAAACTGTCAAGAATTTACATGAAAATCACACAGGACAACTCAAGCAAAACCCCTAAATATATCTGTAAAACTCAGTATTGTTAAAACTAAAGAAAACTGGAATCTGTTCTGTGTGTTCTATAAGCCAGTGTTTGTATAAGTAAGCTGATAATAGACTTCTCTACCTATCTGAAATACAGGTGCAAAGATAAGACACAGGGAAACAGACAAGTTCAGAGAGAAATTAGTTGGACAGTTTTGTCAAAGATGGCAATCGATCCTCAAAGTAAAGTCACGGTAGATTCCGTATCAGTCACAGTAGATTCCGTATCACTTGAAGTGTTAAAATGTAACTAGGTATCTTTCTAAGAGGTAAATTTGAACTTAAACAATTCAGAAAAATCCCAGTCACACTCAAGATCACAGATTACAACACCGAGTGGCTTTTGCGATCTACAAAATTTTGGCTGTTCAATAAATAAAATTTTAGAAATCTTCTCCAGTTTCTAGACTCCTCAAAGTTAGAAAAGGATATTGTCTATTGTCAAAATTATAGCTACCTTTAATCCTATGGTAGACTTCTGGATTTCTTTTCTCCATTGCTTTTCAAAGTTAGGACACACACTGTATGGTGAATCAGTTTCATTCAGTTCGAACAGGTCATCCCTTTCCAATGGCCTCTTATAGCCTATAGATATAAGTCTGAAAGAAAGCAATGAATTTAGACAGCATGAAATACAGCAGACAAAACAAGCAGAACTACTAACTCAAAAAAGTAACTACATAATTGAGTGTATATAAATAAACTCTATAATCAAAATAGTGTATGTAATCCCATAAAGTCTACAGACTAAATAGTGGAACAAACTTAGTCATCTTAAGCACCTTGAAATTCACCTGAAGTAAGAAAAGCCCAAGCAGATTGTCACACCTGAACAGCAGATTCTGAGGAACCTTTGTACTTCAGAATCTGTCTACATTTCTGATCCCATATATCTTTATAGGAAAATATACTATTTCATAAACAAGCATGTGTAGCATCATTACCCACGTAGTATTGTGATGTGGAACGAAATACCTTTTCTATCACAGGACTGCATTATCACAGAATCATAGAACCATTTAGATTGGAAAAGACCCTTAAGATCATCTAGTCCAACTGTTAACCTAACACTACCCAGCCTACCACACAATGATGTCCCTAAGCACCATGTTTACACCCCTTTTAAATACCACCAGGGATGACAACTCATAATCACAGAATCACAGAATCATCTAGGTTGGAAAGGACCCTGGAGATCATCTAGTCCAACTGTTCGCCTAGCACAGCTCCCATCTACATCATATCCTTAAGATCTAAATCGACCCGACTCTTGAACACCTCCAGGGATGGGGACTCCACCACCTCCCTGGGCAGCCCATTCCAATGCCTAACAAACCCTTCTGGAAAGAAATGCTTCCTAATATCTAGTCTAAACCTTCCCTGGCACAACTTGAGGCCATTCCCTCTTGTCCTGTTGCTTACTACTAGGCTAAAGAGGCTCAAACCCAGCTCTCTGTAGCTTCCTTTCAGGTAATTGTAGAGGGTGATAAGGTCTCCCCTCAGCCTCCTCTTCTCCAGACTAAACACCCCCAGTTCCCTCAGCCGCTCCCCGTACGACCTGTGCTCCAGAGCCTGCACCAGCTTTGTAGCCCTTCTCTGGACATGTTCAAGTAACTCTATGTCCTTTTTGTAGTGAGGGGCCCAAAACTGAACACAGGAATCGAGGGGCGGCCTCACCAGCGCCAAGTACAGGGGCAAGATCCCTTCCCTGTCCCTGCTGGCCACACTAATCCTGATACAAGCCAGGATGCCATTGGCCTTCTTGGCCACCTGGGCACACTGCTGGCTCCTGTTCAGCTGGCTGTCAATCAACACCCCCAGGTCCCTCTCTGACTGGCAGCTCTCCAGCCACTCCTCCCCAAGCCTGTAGCACTGCTGGGGGTTGTGGCCCAAGTGCAGCCCCCAGCAGTTGGCCTCAGCCCATCACTCCAGCCTGTCCAGGTCTCTCTGCAGAGCCTCCCTACCCTCGAGCAGATCAACACTCCCACCCAACTGGGTGTCAGCTGCAAACTGACTGAGGGTGCACTCGATCCCCTCGTCTAGATCATCAATAAAGATGTTAAACGGGAGTGGCCCCAAAACCGAGCCCTGGGGGACACCACTCATGACCAGCCGCCATCTGGATTTAACTCCATTTACCACAACTCTCTGGGCCTGGTTGGCCAGCCAGTTTTTTACCCAGCAAAGTGTGCGATTGTCCAAATGTCGAGCAGCCATTTTTGCCAGGAGAATGCTGTGGGAAATGGTGCCAAAAGCCTTGCTAAAGTCAAGGTAAATTACATCCACAGCCTTTCCCTCATCCAATAAGCAGGTCAGTCTGTCATAGAAGGAGATCAGGTTTGTCAGGCAGGACCTGCCTTTCATAAACCCGTGCTGACTGGGCCTGAGCATCTGGTTGTCCCTCATGTGTTGCATGATGGTGTTTAGGATGAGCTGCTCCATCAGCTTCCTGGGCACCGAAGTCAAGCTGACAGGCCTGTAATTTCCCGGATCTTCCTTCCGACCCTTCTTATAGATGGGTGTCACATTGGCCAATTTCCAATCAGTTGGGACCTCCCTGTTAGCCAGGACTGCTGGTAAATGATAGAAAGTGGCCTGGTGAGCACCCAGTCAGCTCCTTCAGCGCCCTCGGGTGTATCCCATCTGGTCCCATAGACTTGTGTATGTCTATGTGATGCAGCAGGTCACTGACTGTCTCCTGGATTGCAGGGGGGTCATTCTCCCAGTCTCTGTCTTCTGGCTGAGGAGACTGGATTCCCTAAATAAAACTAATCTTGTTATTAAAGACTGAGGCAAAGAAGGCATTAATCACCTCAGCCTTCTCCTCATCACTTGTTACCATATTTCCTCCTGTATCTAGCAGGGGATGGGGACTATCCCTGGACTTTCTTTTGCTACTGACATACTTATAGAAACTTTTCTGCAACTCATTATCCTGCGACTCATCTTTAACAAAGGTAACAACATTAAACTACTGGGTTTCAGCACAAGTACAATGGAAGTTTCCTTACCACAGATCTTCAGCTCTTAAAATTTTGTTTTAACAAAGTGTTTTTACACACTTAAGTGTCAACAAAACCTAAAACTGTTCTTAAAAATGGCAAAATAGAGCGGATGAATACACTGAACCTAAAGGAGCTCTGAAAGAAAAATAGCTGATTTGGAATTTTTGACAAGCATGTCAGATTTATGACAATCCAAAGCAAACTGTGCCATGCCATTTCTGAGGTGGGGGAAATGCAAAAGGATTCATGCTGACTGTGTTCACTAACTTAAAGGAAGTCCCAAACAGCTAGAAATTGACAAGAGACACATGCATAGCCACTGGAGCATGTGTACTGTCAGGGGAAGCCCTAATGATTTCAGCCTGGTGAGGATTTTCCTCCCTGAGGGCCACAGCACAAGGGCAGTTTCTATCCTCTCTGGCACGCACTGCTAGGGTGTCATTCCTGTGTGGGTCAGTGCCAGTGGTGTGTGTGCCATATTGCTTATCACGGGACAGAAAATGAAGACTCAGAAACATTCTTTTGAAGGTTGTAAAATTCTGGTGGGGGTGGACCTCACTATCCCTAAGGGGCTCCCAAACATCTACTGAAGCTGTAAAATTAATACAAACTGCATTTGCTTTAGGCTTGATAAATTAAGGCAAAAACAACAGAGCTTCTCACTAAGAGCACCAGCTTTTGAGACAGATGAGGAGAGCAGACCAATTGGTACTTGAGTGGAACTGTTGTTTAAGAATTCTGCATAACTCACCTCTATGCTAGAACTCACTTCTGCCAGAGGATAAATAGAACTAGCCAATGCCCTCCATAACGTAATCTCCAGATTGCCTGAATTCTAAAGAAACATAGTGTATCATTATGGGTTTATTATCTAACAATTAATTTCAGACTGCAAGTACTTAAGGCAAGTATATATTAGCCATAATCTATTGTGTTTGCTTGTGATTGGAAAGAGGAAATACATCTAATGTTCACAGTATTAGTTTAATTGCATCCAGTTGTTCAATAGCTAAATAAACTCTCACTGAACAGATCTGAAATCCTTTTTTTTTTTTCTCCCTGCCTCTCTTCTTTTGTTAAACATTGTGGAATCAGTTAAAAAATACAAAGGATAGCCTAGCTTGAACATCTGGGTGAACACTGTGACATAATGAACACAAATATCATATAGAAACGCTGCACTCAGTACACTGTGTAACTTCCTAGAACTGAAAATCTGAATGTAAGGACTGGTGAAAAACAAAGCTACTCTGAAACTGATGGCAAACTTCAACAGTGCCAGAGTTTAACCAAATACTCTGAATCCTTGAAACAATCTGATTGTTTTGTCTCAGCTTATTAATAGCAAATACTATTTTCAGTTTTTCCTTAAAATTAATAATATTGAATAAAGCAATAAACAGTTATAATATTCTTAAAATGTTTTTTCTCACTTTTTTCTTCTTTAAAAATCATTTGAGTCAGACATATACACTTCAAAAATCTAAAAGAAAAATGTTAAAAATGAGTAATGGTCACAAGACATAACACATGAAATTGTTTGAAATAACATCAAAAATACTAAGTGAGGGGAAGCTGCAAGGCTTGACATAGTTGAGTTTTCAGTTCCTATTTTTGAGTGGAAAATTTCCCCAAAAGCAGGGGGACTTTACTGGTGTTTATGAGCAGGTGATCTGCAGTAATAACATACAGCCTACTGTAAAAGAGGGAGGAAAACGAACATGAAATGGGCTACTTGGAAAATACCTTAAAGGTAGTACTGAATATTTGTTCTTGAAGATCTCAAAAATTGTTGTATCAACACATGCAGTGTAAGGAAAAACTTATTTCATTTTTTGTCTATTGCCAAACTTTACAGGGACGGATAATAAATAAAAAAGGATAGCCTGATCTGGATTTTTATATCCCGTTGTCTAAAAATATGGTCTACTGGGACAAGAAAATTGTGCTTAGTTATCAAAATATTAACATTTAAAATAATGCCATTAGAAATGTATAAAATTACTGTTATTATGTATAAACAATACTCCACAAAATATTTGGATATAACCTCTGAAAGTTGTAAATTGCTTTTTGTACAAAAAAGCTAATAGCAATCTCAGACTCAGGCTCTAGCTCAAGCCAGAATTATGGTGTGGAATGTAAACACATTCTCCATAATTCTGTGAGCATCAACGAACACCAACAAGCAGTTTATTAAATTCTTACCTGCTAAACCAGGAATATGTTAATTTATTGAAGAAAAAAACATTCGCTTCAGGGCTGCATTTCTGTTTAAAAAAGAAAGAAGGAAAAACTACCAATGTTACTTGAAGGACTGAAGAAGAAGTTGGGTTTGTTTTTTTTTTTTCCTTTTCCTAAACATGAAGCTTTTAGGAGCTATTTAATTCTGAGCTACAATAAGGTCAACACTTACATTTCTTTGCCTGTTACCTTCTCACACCAATAAAATGTAACACAAGGTATTGGACAGGCTGGAGCCATGGGCTGAGGCCAACTAGAGGAGTTTCCATGAGGCCAAATGCCGGGGGCTGCCCTTGGGCCACAACAACCCCCAGCAGCGCTACAGGCTTGGGGAGGAGTGGCTGGAGAGCTGCCAGTCAGAGAGGGACCTGAGGGTGTTGATTGACAGCTGGCTGAACAGGAGCCAGCAGTGTGCCCAGATGGCCAAGAAGGCCAATGGCATCCTGGCTTGTGTCAGCAGTAGCGTGGCCAGCAGGGACAGGGAAGGGATCTGAGCCCTGGACTCGGCACTGGTGAGGCCGCACCTCGATTCCTGTGTTCAGTTTTGGGCCCCTCACTCCAAAAAGGACATTGAATGACTCGAGCGTGTCCAGAGAAGGGCAACGGAGCTGGTGCAGGCTCTGGAGCACAGGTCGTACGGGAAGCGGCTGAGGGAACTGGGGGTGTTTAGTCTGGAGAAGAGGAGGCTGAGGGGAGACCTCATCGCCCTCTACAGCTCCCTGAAAGGAGGTTGCAGAGACCTGAGGATGAGTCTCTTTAACCAAGTAGTAAGCAACAGGACAAGAGGGAATGGCCTCAAGTTGTGCCAGGGAAGGTTTAGACTGGATATTAGGAAGTATTTTTTCCAGAAGGGGTTGTTAGGTGTTGGAACAGGCTGCCCAGGGAGGTGGTGGAGTCCCCATCCCTGGAGGTGTTCAAGAGTCGGGTCGACATAGCACTGAGGGATATTCTGTAGTTGGGAACTGTCAGTGCTAGGTTAATGGTTGGACAGGATGATCCTCAAGGTCCTTTCCAATCTAGTTGATTCTGTATTAAGAATGAAAGACATCCACAGTCCTGGGACTTACTAGAACTTAACTTCCTATAAGAAATAGGGTATTAACTACCACTTTAGCTTGATTTTACACTGTTCACACATACCCTAGAATATGATCACACTAACAGTAAAGCATAGGAGCTGGACTCGATGATCCTTATGGGTGCCTTCTAACTTGAGACATTCTATGATTCTATGTCCAGTATAAGCAAACCTTCCTCAAATCTTTGACAGTTAAAATCCTGTGCATTTTTTCTCCCCCTGTTTGAAAACCTAGATATTGGAAGTTATCAACTGCTAACACCTCAAGAACAGCAGACCCTAAGAGACGAAGCATGACTAATCTGTACTGTACACATACATGAGGAGAGGAATATGAGGCTTGTGCTCTGCTGCCAATTTCATAAGTCACTGGAGATAAGTGTAATGGAGGCAAACAAATACGAACTCTCCTATGCTTCCTGAGGAATGTGTACCCACACCCCAGAGAATGACTTCAGCACACCTAGGGAGTAAATTCTGTCCCTTGGTAATTACTGCCTTAAAATAATTTCTGACCAGAGATACAGTTACAATTCTTTTCGGTAGGTGGTGTAAAAAACCCACCTATCAAAAAACGTACGCAGCGTGTGCTCTGAGATCCTGTACGCTTCCCACAACGATTTTTCTGTCACTTCCACTGAAAAGCCAAACGATTAAATCAATGTCCGAGCTGTGGCCAGGGCGCAGGCAGGCCCCGGCGGGGCGGCCCCCCGCCCTCGGCCGC